AGTATTATTATTGAAGACCAAAGCTGCTATTAGAAAAACCATGGAAACCACAGTTTAAAAAGTGTTTTTTTAATTGGAGGGAGACACGTACAACAAACGCATTGGTTTTTCAAGCAAGGCAACACAAGTCACAGAGTCCATTATATGTGTTGTATCAGCTGAGAACTGATTATGAAACCAATGTGATTTATGTATACATTATCCTACTAAACATTACCATTGTGCGTCAGGCACGATACAGGAAACAGTACCAGTTAAGGCTGGTAATAATGTAAACATTAGCTGGAATACTATAACCCGCGTAATTTTCGAGACCTTAAAATTTTAAAATTGTCTACATGGATTTGAGTGGGCAACCAAAGCAAGTTTTAAATGCAGTTACCCACTTTAAAATACCAAACACAAAAAAGAATAAAGTATAAAGTGCATACCATACAGTACTAAATACAGGGACCCACTTTATAATACCAAAATACAAAAAAGAATAAAGTACATGCCTTTAAAATAGCAAAGCTACAAAAAAAGAATAATTAGGACTATTTGATAAAATAGAGCAAATCGACAAAAGTAAGTAAAAAACAACCCATAAATATTGAATGAGAGTTAACAGATAAATATGTATTCATTTTATTATGCCCATTTAAAGCTTAATGAATTTATGTAGCATTATAATAATATAAATTATTTTTTTAAATGGAGGGCTATTATGTATTCTAAACATCAAATAGAAATATGTTTTTAAATTTCTTTAAATTTGAAATCGATCAAGCCACATCCTTAGGCTAGCCAAGCTACATACAAATTACATTTAATATCACTGTAAATCGAGGACCCATTATTATACAACCATTTATTTTTACGACAACTTATTTCATTTGTGAAAATTTTATGATTGTAAAAATATAGTGTTTTCAGACTTTTTGCAAAATTAGAAAATTCAGCTATACATTGATGATGAACATTTGGAGAACAATAAACTTCCCTTATTCACCCATAAAGATGAACCATGATATGGTCTTGAATTAAATATTTTCTAGAAGGGGTGAAGTCAATTCAAAGCAGTGGCATAGTTGAAGAGGAGGGGTTTGAGGCTTGCCTCCACTAGGCATCCCTTCCCATGGAAATTTGCTCGGCACAAAAAAAAAAAAATAGACACTCCGTCTTGCCTTATTTTTCTAGGTACAGTAGTGCACAATCAAATCAGTCCTAGAGTACCCTCCCACTTAACCTTTGTGTTCAATTCCTGTCCTATAATTTAGCTAAGCATCATAAGGGGGAGCTAAAGTATCAAAGGAATTACAGAACAAAGAGTAACGATTACCAACTGGGCCAATAAGGCCCCCTCTGTCATGATTGTCAGCTGACAAAACTATAGAGTTTTGCATTTAGTCTAGGTATAACTAGTTAAAAATGCTTAAAAAACAAAAACCAGTTTATCAATATTAAAACTATATGTACTGTAGAATGACGTCATTTTTTTTTGCTGCGGCTCATGTTATAATGGTCTAGGCTAGGACCAAGTTTGAAGATGATCCGAATATAGACCATAACTGGTAGGTAAAATCCTGTGCAAAAAATAGGTAAACAGGATTGAAGAAAAAAAATCATTGCAAAGGCTTTTCCGCTGTAATGGAAAAAAGCCAAATAGAAAATTTCACTGAATTTTTCCTCCGACACTTTAAGGCATCTTCAGTCGATGAGTAACAGGTAAACAAATATTAGAGATGATGGGCGTTGACCATTTTTACAATTTTCTTTCTCAAAAAATTGCTTTCCACTACGTGTATCTGTTTATAGCTGAGTTCACAGATCCTTGAAGCATAGGAAATCTACCTGTATTTTATTGTGGTCATAGCCATTGTTCAGGACGTTGTTTAGGTACTGTAGTATAAGCATGACACACTCCAGTTCACAACTGCACTGATGGAAATTTCCAGTCATGTAGGAGGCAATTGCCATGTGTACACACAGCTATGTATGCCAGGCTGCATAACTGTGAAGGCAGGCTCCGCTTTTATTATTCTACAGCTGATGGTGGTAGTTGAACAAATGCTACCATGCTTTCTAAATGTATAAGTGCTAAAGGATTATTATACAGAGTTCATTCCTTTGGTTAGTAAAACTTTATATATTTTAACATAATAAAATTATAAATTATTAAAATAAATTCTATCATACTATGTTTATTATTTTATTTTATATTTACGTTATTTATAGTTTTTATTTTTATATTGTTTGTATTTATATGTTTATATTTAAATAATTGTATAGTGTTTATAAATGATGTAATTAGAATGATGTTTAGAATAATAATAGTTTACAAATAAAATGCAATCCAATAATTTATTATCTTAAATGTAAGATTAATAATACTATTAAAAATATTTAAAAGCAAATAAATGTACAGTATATATATATTTTTAAATTATTCTTCTTTTCTTAATAAATATTAATTATATGCATGTTTTAAATGGTTATTATTATGTGTATATAATGTAATGTAGTTTAATTGACATAGCACTTTATATCTAACAATAATAATTAGTTTTGCATTGTTATTTTCAACTTTAAATAAATTTAACATTATTATTATATAATAATAAAAATATATATAATTATATTATAAGTTACTAGAATAATTCTTATTTATTATTATTTATTTAAAACAATGAAGTTTACAAATAAAGTACAATCCAATAATTTATTATCTTAAATGTAAGATTAATAATACTATTAAAAATATTTAAAAGCAAATAAATGTACAGTATATATTTTTAAAAAATTATCATCTTTTCTTACTAAATATTCATTATATGCATGTTTTAAATGGTTATTGTTAAGTGTATATAATGTAATGTAGTTTAATTAATATAGCTCTATATCTACAGTCATAAAATGTCGAGTTACATGGTAAACCATTTCCAGTTACTCTAATCTGTCCACAACAGGAGTTGTATGAACCAGTACATCGGGATAACCCTGTACTCATCTCAAAAAAGTCTAACTGGGTTCTTCATACAGTAGTGTACATAGACCTAATTGTGTACACTGGGCCTATGGTTTATTGTCCTTTTCTGAGAAGACTTGTTCCACCACCAGAACCACAGGCGAGCGTGCCAACCGAATTATGGCTATAGATAGCAGTGCCAGTACTTTTAACATATTGTAGATAAAAAACAATTAATATCAATATTTTATGTACACTATACTATCATTATGTAAATACTAACGAGGCCTGAGTCAGCTGTTCTTAGGTTCTGTACCACATACTTTGTATCAATATATTAATATTGAATTATGTTACAGCGCATTATTCATTAAAAGCTTCTATACGCTTCAAATCAGAAAATGAATAGACAACAAAACACATAGGGATGATTCATTAATTCATATTTAGCCCAACAATGTTGAAAGAATATTTTCTGCATAATTTAAATATAATTATTGAAAACACAACATTAATTCTTAGCTGCTTTTTTTGAAAGATGCTTCAACGTACATTGTCGAGAAATCTTTGCTTATTACTCTTGAATTTACTGTAACTTGCATTGTTTAAAGCCAGACTCCAGAGGAAAAAAAATTAATATGCTATAGAACTGATTTTTCTAAGACCCAAAAAGCATATTTATCGAAAAACTTGGGAACGGTTTAGTGATAACAGATACAGATTTTTGAATATTTAAAAACTGGAGGAAACAGATGGAAAAAAGAATAGAACACATCCCTGCTCCCCCCCCCCCCTCCTTCCCTCCAGTTTTTAAATATTTAAAAATCTGTATCCCATATAACTATCCGAATTTTTTCGTCAAATATGGTTTTTGGTCTTAGAAAAATCAGTTGTATAACATATCAACATTTTTTTTCCTCCGAAACCTGCAATTTGAAACAAAACTTTAATTGAAGATATTCATCAAATATTCAACTTTATCTACTTCTCAATAAATAATGCTTTCATCTCGCCAATTACTAATCTTAGATTTTAGAAGAATTTCGAGAGACAAAATTATTCAAATTTTATGCCGTTTATCTGGACTCAAGTCAAATGGCTGCAATTACTGGAGGATGAATATTGTACGTTGTGCTTGTAATGCTAGCAACAGGGAAATGTGTTTCAGAAATCCAGACAAAACTGGTTTGAACATTCTATGTTTGTAGGGTGAAATTAGTGTTGCAAGACATGTTAGGACCAATGTTGCTCAATGGTCTGCATCTTTTCAAGAGCGTACACGAGAGCAGGGTGCACCTCATGGTATTACACTTCTTTGTATTGTTCAGTTTCAAAGGAGCTTTGTGTAGTTAATAGCGTAGTCGTAATTGTGTTGGTGATTCCTATTTCAAGGTTGAAGCCCCTGTTCATAGTGATTTTTGCATAATTATGATTATTATCATTTATTCAGGCAAAATATGACAACATAAATTGTATGCAGAACAGTTTAGTTGGGATTTGCCTGGAAGGAACAAAAGCAATGAATATATCATAAACATATACAAATGATAGAATGATATTAAATGGTATGAAATGAATATAATTATAACAAATTAGGAAGTGAAAAAACAAAAATTGTTAAACAATAATATCAAATCAATTTATTATTGAATTTTGAAAAATAATTTGCCAAAATATATTAAATAATGTTTATTTTATTTATTTATTTTAAATTGTTTTATAATTTATATTTTAGGTCTGTAATATATCTTAGTAGTATGCTTATAATAATAAACAATAATTATGTTGGTTATGAATAAGCATGGAGAATAATTTATTTCTCCAAAATATATTATTTTAAATGATTGTTTTTTTTTATATTGTATTTAAATATACTTCATATTTGTTGTGTATGTTTATAGAACGGTTTTTAGTAATGACATTACATAATATATTATAATTACAAATGTCGATGATGAATTTAATATTTTAATTGTGTTAAACACTTTTGTATATTTTGTCGATATTGGCCCATGTAATTGACCTTATGATATCTAATTAATTCTTTTTCCAGAGGAGGAAATTAAAAGATTGAACGAAGCCATAGCAGCATCTGAAACGACGTACAGTGCGATTTCGTTTAATTACGATGAAAGTAAAACAAACCAAAGTGACACTTATGATCCTATGCAACCTACCCAAGATGAAGCAGGTAAGAAAAATGACAGTAGTAACAATAATGACGATTTCACATGAAAAAAACACAACTTTTTATTGCTCATGCCCAACCGACCTAATCTCATTCAAAGTATTTTATTATGCCATAATGATGTGTGCCACAATGGTTGAGGTTATAATATTTAATAGAATTTTATATCTATAATAATTGAAATGACATAGCTGAACAAAGGGCGGATGACCTCCTCGGAGTCAACGACCAACCATTAATTAGTTTAAGGAATAGGAGTAGTTTAGTCTCATTGTTATTATTGTTATGATTATTTTTTTTTAATTTTTTTTGTTATTATTTTATTGTTATTTGCTTTTTCTCAGTTGGCCTATATTATTTCTCTGTAAAGTGCATAGGGGCAATGTGCAATATGCGCTATATAAATATAACATTATTATTATTAAAATAGTATTACTATTCTGTCATCATCATTTAATACAGAGTATGAATATAAAATGCCATGAATGGCAAGAACAAAATTCTGAAATTCTAAAAAAAAAAAAAAAAAAAATCAATTATTTTCATCTATAACTATATCATAATTAATTATTACCAATTAATGTATTTTCGTAATATAGATACCTGTATGAAACAAACATTGCATCTCTGCAAAGGTTAATGGTCACCTGCCACAGAAATATAATTATGCTGATAATCATATATAATTGTATGCAATGTATGAACACCTAGGAATCATATGCAGCCATACTATTGGTGTATCATAAATGTGGGATTATGAGACTAAAAAGGGAAATTCCCATTTGGGTTAGTCGTCATGGATGTAATCACTGTTGCAGAAAGTAGCGATAAAGGTGTAATTAAGACCACAGTGCAGCCAGGCTGCCGCACAGATAATGCAGATGTATTAGGGCTTGATCGGCATGCTACTTGGTTTGTATTCCCAAGGGTGTATGTTCAATCGTACCACGATTTTCTCATTACTAATAAAACTACCTGCACCAAAATTTCACAGTATTCAACATTATCATTTATAGTGCATTAACCCAGATTAACTATCTTCTTATTGTACATACAGTAGCAACATAATAATACATAATTGAAATTATTTTGACTCTCACCGAGACCATGTTCTTTTCTTTCAATCTAATAATTTTATTTATAATCAATTAGAAATTGAACCAAGCAAGGTTGGTGATTCTAATATATATTTTTTGTAAATAATTCCATTGCTTTTTAAAAGTAATGGACTAAATGTAATATTGATATTTATATTATGTGTTTGATTTTTTAAATTCAAATTTTGTGTTTTGCGTACTACATTATTAATTAATACTGTGTTAATTCTACAGAAATATTAAAATAATTTGTGCTGATTTTAGTATTAAGTGAAATTAATAAAGCTCTGTCTAGATAGTCAAATTTTCTTTGACAAAAAGCTGTTGCATGCGCATATATAGTCATTGTGTGCCATATATAGTCATGGTGGGCCTATATATGGTCATGATGTGATGTCATCATGACCATATTGTTATTTAGGCGTGCCACATGTTGTCAAATAAAATTTGGTAGTCTGGCTGCTTAAGAGGAATTATGCTGTAGTTCTGTAGAGATACTGTACTTGATGTGTGGGACCTTACAATGATAGTGCAGTTTTTATTAAGCTAGTCATAATATTGATTTGCTTTTACTGGCTGATTTTGCTATATTGAGATATGAATAGCTCAGTGTATGCACAGTAATATTCTACACTATGGAGCTAGGTATTGACTGGTCATTTCAAATGGTCAGCTTTTACAGTATCGTGAAATGACTTCCATTAGGTCAGATCACAATGTTGAATTGAGGATGCTTGTACAACTACTGTTAGAGTATTTTCGTGTAAAGCCCTGTCATCGATTGTTACATGCCTAAATATTCTCATGATGACATCACATCATGACCATATATGGGCACATCATGACTATATATGGCCATATAATAGTGTTTGTGTCAAATGAAATTTGATAGTCTGGACAGGGTCAGCCTTTGGTAGTTACAGTATATATAATTTTGATGGTCAGGGATTAGTTAAAGATCATGCTCTTTACATTAGGGATGAGTTGGAGTTCATTTTTAAGATGAGTTGAAGGTAAAACTCAATATTTCACCTTCCACTCATCTTAAATATGAGTTAAGTTGAAGGTGAAACGCAATATATGTATTAGGTTATATTAAGCTATAATATCTTTTGATTTGCGACAATCATAAGACTTCAAGCCAGGCATTCACTACGCTGTACGACGTTTGACGAATCTAACGCCACTCCCCTGTCAATTTCAGATGATACGATGCTGATTGAGAGAACAGATTATTAAAAATGATCCATTGCGCATGCACCTTACAAAGTATATAATAGCTGTCTCTTATACACATCTAGATGTGTATAATGACAAATTACTACGCCTTATGACAGTCCTTGTCCCTCTTCTCCCTAAGTGTCGTTTAACATTGATGACACCTTGATAGCTAGGTCATCGTATTAATTTAATTTATTCGGTAATAAAAGTCGGCTAGTTAAGGTTTCACTTGTGTAGTCATCGGTGTCGCTCTAGATAACATCAATTGTGTAAAGGTATTAATCATTCATTACAAAAGTGTCAATGTAAACTATTTAATATAAAATAAATTATTAGCAATTATGCATAGTGTATGTCTATGGTTCCAAACCTGGGGTCCACAGACATATTATGGTTAAAATGTTATGGTTCGTTTTTAGGTTTAATCAAATTTTTATGGTAGATTGGGTGTATATTATTTTCCTCATCTTGCAACAGCGTGATACATCTTACTGCTATTATGATGGATGTTTGCCCTACTTAACGTGGTATGGTACTAAATGCTCAGTACTTGGCTTGCGAAAAAAGCTTGCAAGTTATTTGGGTGGAATCGAACCCATGACCTGATAAATACTGTAGCTGGGTGTCTTAACCACTTGACCACCGAGCTTGCGCTTAGTGGCTAGTGATGAATCATTTATGTCATTGATTTCATTCCATTTATTTTACCGAAAACAATTACATAATACAATATACTGTAGAAGATAAAGAAGTTGGACAGACATAACATTAACAATTTATCTGGCGGTCTTGGGTTCCATTTCCACTCTTGGAGATTTGTTTTTGCAAGCATTTGGGAAAGTACAGTACAGTACTTGTTTATGTAGGCCCAATATGCATCATGTTTACTAGAGTACAGTAACATTGCATTGTGGACGACATGTGCCTGTAATAAACAGTGCCTTTTTTAGGCTTTTATCGGAATATCGGTTTGATTGCTATTTCTGTGTAAATTGCATGTTTATCTCTCATGGAAGCCTATTAGTCATGCTATTTAGATAGATAAATGAATCATATAGTGGTTGTTTGTTTATACCTACCCTACAGTATAAAGAAAACACAGGTGAATGATTTTTATTTTTTTGGTAAAGCAACAGAGAAGATGAAGGCCAAAATGCACGAATTGTAATGAAATATTAATCCCTGTCAAGAGATTTATTCAATAAACACTCTAAATGTAAATATTTATCTGATGATTATGTCTGTTTGAATCTGTATGCACTCTCTGCAAAAGGTTATCAATAGTTATCAAAATAATTAACCTATTTTTATATAGAGCCACAAAAAAATAAAAATAAAAGCATTGGCAATAAAAAGTGAATTGTTGGCAACTGGAATTACATTGGGGTCGTTCACAATCAATGCATCAACTTCATTGCAAGTATAGAAACACTCCCTTGTGTACATAAAAAAAAGTTGATTTTAGAAAAGTATCCTCCAAGTCAACTAAAGTTCTGTACTTGGTTGCATAAAAATGACTATTATATCCCTGGTTGTATTATAATTGGTCATAAAAATCTATTTTTTTAATTTTGCATTTTATTTTGGATCAACGAATTCATGCATATGTTAAAGTGTACAAAAGTGTACTGTTTGTACACACTTGAAAATGTTGATAACGACCCCTTACAAAGTATATAATAATAGACAAGAGTATTAAAAATATTGAAATTGTTAAATTGCTTTAAATTCTTTGTATTTGGAAAAACAATTCTAAAATTATAATAGGGAGCTTTCGACTTGTGCAATGATGCGACGCTAGAATGGAATCACTCATGCGTGACCGTCCTACCTGGCGTCCTACGTTCTCTGCATACGTAGAATTGACCAAATTGCGTTCTGGAATCTACACGGCGAGGTGAACTTAACGTTCTTGCATGCGCAGATGACTTATACGGGCGTCATTACGTTCTACGTCCTACTTTTGTGCTTTCGAAAGCTCCGTAATAATACAAGGCCTTGTCCACACTGTCACATTTCATGTACTGCAGTAGTAATACCTATGATTTGCCCATATATGGGCATAAACATGTCATCTTTATATGGCATGATGATGTCATCAGATGATCCAACCACTGATAGTTGTCGCAAAGAACTGTTCATATGGTCCAAACTTTAAGGTAGATAATGTGATCATATGGTTAATTACTCCACTAAAGTCCACATATGAATCGATTATTTTAATTATTAATTGTACTCACGAAAAGACTGACATCGTAGCCGAAATTGTTTGCGGCCGAAACGGCCCTACGCCTCCTAGGCCTATAATGGCTAGGCCACACCGTAGGCCTAAACTAGGGCATAATTTAAGGCAGTAATCCATAAAGATGTTTAATACAAGTACAAACAGGTTTAGCTAATCTTTCAGTATATTACCTGTTAATGACTAATGGGTCATGATTAGAGAAAAGTGTATTTTAATAGCTGATGTTTCCAACATTCAATTGGTCAAAAATCAGTTATTAATAATTAAAATAATCGATTCATATGTCAATTGGACTGTATGTACTCTGATTCTGAACATGACTTACTAGGTACGCAAAAAAATACTTTTTCTGTTGTGGCAAATGATTTCAGAACATATAATGCTTTTTTGTGTGTGTAAACTGTACTATGGATATAGTGTGTTTCTTCAATTCAGGCATTTTACCAATTGTCGGGACCCAGTTAGGCCTAGCCCTGGACGGCTGAGAGGGTAGGGATTGCCGAATTACTAGCCTATTGTAGCCTTATGTACGCACACCATAAATTTCAAACATTTAAATTGCAATATATGCATTTATGTATCTTAACTTTCAAAGAAATTGCCAAATTAAATTAAGTTTAAATATTTTTTAAAAAATATTATATGTCCAATTCCACCACGAAAATATTCACTTGTCTTGTGTGGTGCCCACTTGCGGTTCGAACAACCTAATTTGCATATCAAGGAACACAAGACATCACAAACTAGAGAACAATAGAATCCAGTTGCGTTTCCAATCTCCTTATAGTTGTCTCAGGCCAAATGCTGCAAATCTAATTTTAACTCTATTCCGCAAACCTTATAACATTGAACAAAAACCCAAACGACAGATATTCGAAAGCATTGAATACTGTTTCATCTTTGACTGTAATTTTAGAAAGGCTGTTGCAAATGAAAGTAAAATTACTTTTTAAATTAAGAAAATGAGCCACTAATAATTTTGTTTGTAATGTTCAAAACAGGAAAAGATACTATGCCTACTGGTAAAGAATATGGTAAAAATAGATACATACCAAAATGTTGTGATGGATGTAGTCTGTAGACATTCCTTATTCGTCACATAGGCTATTGACTTATTTTAGTGATTAACATGGTAACTTTATAATATATTATATTCCATTATATTTAGTGAACATACACACGTTTATACCAGCCGCACTCACTGAAGTGGTACGCTACTACATACTAAATGCTCTACTCCTTTCACTGTACTGTACTAACGTAATTTGAATAATGAATTCTCACATGTGTGGCTTTTGTAGCGTGACCAGTCCTCGTCCAATATTTTGTAGATTTCGTAAAATTGTTTTTTTATGATATTTTAATAGACATAAATAGGAGCTCAAAATATGCCAGTAATAATAAAACATTTAAAAGAATGATGCTACGATATATTTCTTCCAGAGCCGTGCACGCTTCTGGACGGCAAATCGGCACAAACATAAGGCCTTATACTCAATTTATAATATAGATATTAGATAAATGTGAAAGAATTACGGTTGAATCGAGGTCAATTTCAGAATCATACATCACTTGCAAATTTAGAGATTGATCAAAAGCAAGTGGTTTGTAATTATGAGAAGCACAACTTATCCAATGTACGCAACCAGTCACTAGTAATAAATGTAATGCTGGTCTTCTAAAGCAAATACTCAACATCAACTTTATCAATCTGGGTTTTCACAGCTATGCAATACCAATTCCTGAGAGATTTCACTTTATCATTAAATTGTGCCATATTCCTAAATCTGTTGTTAAATTTCATTGCATTAATGATTGGTCAGTGGTTAAAGTCATTTATCAATATAATATTTTATTTTTTATATTATCTACTTTTCTTATTTATGTAATTCATTATGTATTATGTCATTTTGATCTTGTTTTTTTTGCTGTAATATGTTTATTCTTTTTTTGTCTGATTCCTCGATAATACTGTACAGTAATGTTCAACATTTTTGGAAATCTTTGTAGGGCTTTTTGTTATATATTTTCTTTATCTTGAAATTGAAATTAATTTTGTAATAAATAATAATACATATGTCTAACTCATGTTGATTTACATTCGCGACATTCAACAGAAACTTTTTAAACAGCAAATAATTAAAAAAAAAACTGTTTACAAGATTGTAATTAATACTGGTAAATAAACTGATAGCCAAGTAGATTGCAGAGCTGAGTACTGTATTAACAGATAACGAAATGAATAGATAGATTGGATTGAATGTGAGGATGAATTGTGAGATTTTGGGGCTGAGACCGGTACTTTTGGAAAGTAAAAAAAGAAAGAATAAGAAAAAAATGATCGGCCAAAATGCCTCTGAGGTTATTTCCGGGCATCTAGAACACAAAAATTTCGCAGGGGCATGCCCCTGGACCCCCTAAGGTAGTATTATCTCGATCGGCCCCACTTCGCCTTCCCCTTTTTAGACATCTCTGGTCTTTCCAGTTGGGTCCTTCTGAATTGGGCAGTAGGCAACACCGGGAGACAATGTCCTACTCTTTTCCGAAGAGTGTAATGCTTATTTTAATGTACACATGGGCCATAATGCACACGGGACCAACGGATTAAACGTCTCATCCGTTAGACGGTGCGCTATTGTAACTTGTATTTCAGCCCTCCAGCTGGAATACATGGAGAGCAGCGTTGGGAATTGAACCTGGACCAAGAGATCTCCACGGTACAGCGCACACCCAGTGGCTACCACCATCTTAGCCGACTGAGCTAGCTACTGTCTTTCTTTGTAAATGATAGATTGGTACAGTAAAATAACCAATAACAGTGTTTTAATCAATTAATTTGAATTCATTTTTTAATTCCAAGTATAAATATTGGAGTTAATACTAAAATTTTTTTCCCTGACGTTTCACCACTACTGTACCTTTAGTGGTTTCATCAGACTGGCAGCCCAATTTTAGTAATATTTTATTAATATTTTTTTTAGGGGTCTTCCCCTAGTTTACCAGTTTAGTTTGTTTATTCAATGCTAGTTGATGTTAAATGATACAGTATCATGTTTAATATGAAATATTGTAGCAAATCAAAATTAAAAATCATTTTAAAATTGTTCTCCATGCCTCATTTGGTTGAGAATGATAGTCGTTTAATCATTTTCATATTTTAGTTTATAAACTACATTATTGTAGATAAAATTGATTTAATCCATTTTGATAATTTTCATAATCTTACTCTTTATAATCTGCTAATAGGTATCTCTTGTCAAAATCTGTTTAATCCATCATAATTCCTTTGATCCTACTGAATTATAACTGAGGATTAGAAAGCTTTAATGCGACATGACCTAAAAGCATTCAGGATCGCCCAAGCAATTATGTGTGAAATGTTCCTGATGACTTAAGGCTCCTTAGGTTACTGAAGAGTTAAAGTAATACATTGAAAGGAAGCAGTTGGAGATTTGATTGGCAGGCATTGCGTACTTGTGTATATAGCTACCTATGACAGTAAACTATGAAATCAAATTTTGCACATAGTAGTATGATAATAGTAAAATTAATATTAATTTAGGAAAGACATATTCAAGGGAGAGAGGAGGCTGTTTGCCTGGGCTCCCCTAATTTTTTCAAAAGGGAAAATAGTTTTTTGTAAAAAGAAAATTACTGTACATTTAAATTAATTGCTATATCCTATTATCTTTACACAAATTTGTTGACCTTGGATAATATTTTTTGATGTATTTCTTTGACATTAATTAATTATACTAGTGTTGATTTCCAACCTTCTTTTAATACCCCCTAAGTCTAGGGGTTTTCTTCCAAACTTCTATCCAATTTGATATTATTCAAATTTCTGAATTTACAAAATAAACTACATTAACAACATGACGTATTTATAGTTGTTAAAATGCAAATAAATCTATTAAATTTATTTATTAAAGCCTTTAAAAAATTGACTATTTTAAGCATTTGATACCATCCATTCTTTTTTGAGATTATTGTTCTGTTGATTTTGGACTTTTACAAAAATAGATCATTTTTTTATGAACCTGTGTTTTAGGGGGCGGGGCTTCAAAACCAAAGATGGTCATAAATTATGAGAAGTTGATCCAGCAATTGTGGAGAGGATATGAATAGTGCTACAGTGTAGCCTGAGTCAGTATACACGCTATGACTAGTAGTACTCCCCATGGAGATAAATTTCACACGGAACATGAATGTACTGTATAATGTTGTTTGTAATGCACATTTTCCTTGACCCTTTACCATGTTTTAATAACATATTTAAACTATGAAAGTAAAAAATATTAAAAGGAAATAACATTATAAATACCAGGAATTGCACATGTTTTGAAGTATCTAATCCAGTGGTGTTTAATCCTAATAAAAAGGAATAAATAATAAAAAATATTATATTTACTATATGTATTTTATATACGAAACATTTAAAAAAGGTGTAATTATTTTGCTCATAGAAAAAAACTCATTCAATAATGGAGCTGGGCTTCTTTGATCTAGCTACAGTAGCCAGTTAATGGAGCATTCCACAGTATTTTTTGTTGCAGCCTTGGTGGGCCTCTTTGATCAAGCTAGCCAGTTTTCAGACAAGGGGTATAAACACCCACTGTGCTCCAGCCTTGGAAAGTGCACTCTCAGTCTCAGACAAAAAGCTTTTTCAAAGCTAAGAGTTCTCCGACAGGCATTCAGGATTTTTCTGCTGTGGAATCTGTTCCCACAAACCTCCTACTGAAGTCGCATTGTTCATTTTTCCGTCCCTGTGTAAGAAACCCAAAGAAAACATATTTTGTATTTATAAATGGATTGGACTTTATCCACCTACATTGTGTGGTAATTTGATCCAGATTCTGAATCCAGAAGATGTAGTTTTTATACAATGAATTATAAAATTAATTGTTATTGGAATATGTTTTAAAACATGACCCTCTGTTTAGTTTTCAAAAGATAACTCACTGAGAAATTTGTAGTATTATTAAACTCAGTTAATATTTATAAATAATTATATAATAATGCCCCTATTGGGAAAAATAATATCTATTTGTGCATGTGTGAAAGAGAGAGAGGACAGTAACATCCCCTACCAAAAGCAAATATTTAGTTTTTGTATCTAAATATTATTTTTGTGATATACATATTTTAGTTTTATATTTTTACATTAATGTTTATATTTTTATATACACAGAAATTGAAACAAGGGAGATTGAAGAAAAAGAAACGGTGAAACTGCCGTCAAATGTAGTGCAGGAGGAACCTTTTATTGCGCCACAAGAACTGAAAATACCTATGGATATGGAAGTGGTAAATACTTTTATTATTGTAATCATTATAATCATCATAACGACATCATCATCTTAATCATCATAATCATTATAATAGCATCATTATCATCATATCATCATCGTCTCCATCATTATCATGAGTATCATCATCATCATTATTTCAGCATTATCCTCGTCATCATTATCACTATCGTTATCATCAGTATCATTATCATATGCTTCATACTTATTATTATTATCTGCACTTACTTGTCATATTAGACACCCTTATTTTCATCGTCATTAAAGAACCACCACCATCATTATCATTACAACCATCATAATCATCATCGGTAATCAGTATGATATTAAGCATAGTCATTACCACAAAAAAAAAAAAAAATCATCATCTCTACTACCTTTATCATCATCGTATTTTTTACATCTTTACTTTTGATATTTTCCTTTCACCACTACAAATGAACACCCTTTGCAAATAATAGAACCTTCCACTCCAGTCAGACTAAGTTTCTAATAATTAGGCCATTGACCTGAAAAACTGGATTTCAGTGAACAAATTAAATACAATATTCCATTGTTTTGTGTACAACAGTCAGTTGCGTTTTAACAATCTCTTACAATAATCTTTGAAAGCAGATTTAATATACTAAATAAGATATTAGATAACAAAATTGTTTATAACTGCTGTAACTTTATATATCTTTATGACTTTCATTAAAAATATTTTTTCAGTCATAGAGCCCAATGACACTTATTAGGCCGGCCTAGGGCCGGCCAAGGGTCGCCTTAAATTACGGCCGACTCAACTTCATTTCCGTTCACAGTTATTGTTTTAAGTTGTATTAAGTCAGTCCAGGGCCGCCTTACGGACGTTCTCACTTCTTCTTTTGGGCCAGGTCGATGAATTGCAGGACAGGAAGTTGAGGCGATCGCATTTTGATGGCGGAACGGTAAATCACAACCTAGCATAAACACATGGAATTCGCGCGAAACATGGACCTAATTTCAAAAATTCTCCTTATACTTTTTCGATTTTTAAAGCGGATAGCATTCTGCTTCATATTTATGGCGACGATAATTCTTATAATAACCATGACCTATAATTAGCGCAGTTCGATTTTACTCTGTGCAAAGCCAGACTCGCGATTTCGAAAGTCCATGACTATATTGTAAACTGTCTATATAGGCCTATATTGCTGTCAAAGTTTGGCCACAGACCGGAGACACTGATTGTGAATAAGTAGCATCGAGATCTATCTATTTAGCGATAATAATTATTTTCATATTAGGTTTATTCACAAACAATTTTTGACGCTTTTTAGAACCAGGTTCGCTCATAAGAAAAACAAACGATTATGTTTTTTTTCTATCCTCTGGGTCATGTGAGTAGCTTCACGAACGTCGACACAAAACGCACGTGGTTGCTGAGGATGATGTTCACAGAAAAAATGATACCGCTATACAGTGTTATGATTTTAGAATATAAACTTGTTAAATTAATGTGTGCTATACAAAAACGGGGTTTCTTGAGCTTGTAATAGGCCAATATTTTTTTTATCTACTGGAATTCTTTAACTGTAGAAAAGAAAGTCGTCATATGTCAAACTGCCCATACGTAAGCTTTGTATCACGTGGTATTCCCCATGCCTACAACTTGGTTTGTGATGATGCTTATGCTTCGCACGGAGGCTGTGAGTAATAATTAGTTAGGCATGGAGACCTTATATAAAAACTTGTATTCAAAAACAATAGTTCAACTAAATACAAATTACTTTACAGCTTCCTTAACAATTTTATTTCTCAATGGTGTTTTTTCGCGCATGTCTGTTCGATTGAATGTTGTGGTTAGATAAGATGTCAAAATCGAGCAATCAGAGCGAACTTGGACTGGCTGAGGTTCGGCTTACGTTCAGATATAAAGTTGTCGGCCCAGGGCCGTCCCAGGGCCCACATTGCAGGACCTTAACCGACTAAAAGTTGGATTAACATTTATTGATTGTTCACACTTAAAAATTGCCGGCCCTGACTCTTAAGTGTGATTGGGCTCATAGAATCTGGTAGACACCTGACTAATTCAAGTAAATCATTTATTTAAAAAGATTGTATATATTTATTTACCTACAACAAAGTTAAAACAATCTACGGACTGTATGAGCCAGTTTAAGATCTACAGAAAAAATAATTAGGAATATAGATATCAGTTGATTGGCAAAGAAAGTAATTTCTTGTACTTTAAATTCAAAGGTAAACATTTATTTAACTTTATATACTTAATTTACAAATAATATGGGAATTAAGCAATTACAACATTGAATGTTTTAACTATCTAGTACACTCAATACAGACGGTATTTTATCATAACTCCATTTTACATTTTCTTATATTTTTATAATAAGCTTGACTGACACCATCAATATTTTCTATTGTATTAGACTTCGCATTGAACTTAAAATTAATTGGCGGATTATAAGAAAAAATAATAATTTATGTTAAATATACGGGGAGTGTCGGGCAAATATTTCAGGGCCTTCAGAATTTTTGTAGGTACAGTATCTGAAGTGACTCAAAAAAACTGTGTCACACACAATCAAAAAGATATACAACCTTTTAATCTTTAAGTCCATTAGCTTCCCAAGTCGCGAAAAAAAAAAACAACAATGTTGTATTAATTGTTAGCTTGAATGTTAACCTTCTATAAATCTTGACAAGTAATAACATAAATGGATAAAATTTATACCTGTCATATCACTGCAGAGTGTTTTTAACTTATATAATTTACTATGACTCACCATATTTTTCATTTTAGCAATTTGCAATGTTGCATGTGACGTCCCTTACAAAAGTGGTGACTGATCTTTTCCACCAGATAATTTAAAGCAAAGCAAAACTAACAAAGAACTCCAAAGTAACTCATCCTCATTGTCTGTCACACGGATTTCTTTGTTGCTATACCTTGAATTTTAGCATTTCATCTTTCCTCAATAATTGCATGTCTTACAAATGAAAGCTGAACATGTTACATTTTCCACAACCAGTCTACAACCCAAGCTGTGAACATATAGATAGTACAACTGTTTTGTTGTTACCCCAGAATTTTGCATTTTGTCTTTTCCATATTTACATGTGATGTAAATTAGAGCAGAATCTAGTAATTGAACCTTAGTAACTGAAATTTTCCGTTGAGTTGAACATTACCTTCTCTGCACCCATTGTAAAAGCTGTGAATATCTACTGTAGATACCATGGTACAACTACTATTTTGTTGCTATCCCAAAATTTTGCATTTTATCTTTTCCAATATTTGTTTGTTCTGTAAATTTAAAAAGAACTTAATAATTTAACCTTGGTGACTGAAATTTTCCATTGAAACGAACATTTTTGGTCTTCACACCCATTGCACAAGCTGTGAAGATCTAGATTTATTAGTACAATACTAACATTTGTCATTGATTTGTTGACATCACCACTGTACAATACAATCTTTATTGGACATCGCATTTGTATATGTACATGTTAGACAATACCTGCATCCAAAGTATAAAAATACTGTATTCTAATTTAAAATTATTTAAATTTAAATTTATGAGTACTTATATGTAAATAAATTAATGTAAAAAAATGAATCAAATATCCTTGAGTTCACTGGTTGTAGGTTTGATATAACTTAGCATGAACTTAGCTTGAAATATTCATAAACGCAAATGAATATAAAGATTGTGATCATAAGTTATGATTACTTAAATATAAATAGTTTAATAAAACAAAAAAATAAAACAAATACCATTAGGTTCACTGGTTAGAAGTTGGCTTGTTAGCAAAGTGGACTTTATTGTCCTTTAATATAATAAATGCTTCATTTTTATAACTTACTCTAGCATGAAGCCAACTGCAGTGATTATTGATGCAATTGTTGTTTTTTTATGTTGATAAACATAAGATGACTTACATTATCATTGTATATCATGCAACTAAGAAATTTATCTTTCATTATTATATAACACCTAAAATTGACTTTAAAATTGAATGCAATCATTCAAAAATCAATTGATGACAGTATGTGTAAAAAATGGAACAAAAACGTACTGTAACATCTAATAAAAAAAAAGCAATAGTAATAAAGTAAATTTAAAAGAAGACAATAACAAAATAATTAAAAATTAAAAAGTAATGAATTAATGAAATATAAAATGAATACCAGTGTGTTAAAGAGTATGGTATGCAAGAGGCAGACCTATCACACAGTGACCCATAGTTAAATGTGTATTTATACTATAATTTGACTAAGAAAAGTGAGTGCTTTGGAAATCAAACCCTCATGCTTTACAGTTACATTCTGACGCTTTACCAACTGAACTTTAATAACCACTTAAGTTGGCATTGGTTCTTCCAAGCAAAGTATTTTAATTAAGAATGTCCTGTTATTGCGAAAATGAATTTTAATGTGTTTATGAAGTATATGAACAATAAATTAAGTATTTTGCCAGCTTTTCTTCAGCATCAAAAATACAAAGTTTTTAATGTTTTTTCTTACAACCTGTCTTTCATTATAACAAATTTATGGTGTCTTGCATGTTTCTTACTTTCAGCCTGCAACTGTTAAGATGCACGCGTTTATTGAACGAACAGCTAACTTCATCAGTTCAAGAGGAGCGCAGATGGAAATACGAATCAAGGCCAACCAGGCCGGAAATTCTCAATTTGATTTTCTTAATTTCGACCACTACCTCAATCCTTACTACAAGCATCTACTAAAATTAATAAAATCGGGGCATTATCGACCAAAGGTGGATCAACAAAGACCCCAGAACAAGAGCCTCACCAAAGAAGGTATGCTATGCTCTTTCTTAGCGATAATTGGACTTTTCTGCTAAGCACCAACCCTGGGGTATAGGTGCTAAAGGTCCCACAAAATAATAGCGTAAAAGTAAATGTGCGTTTGTGAGACTAGAAGAACCTTCATGGCACTGTTCTGAATTGTTGGTTAAGTTTGACTGACATTCCGGAAAGGTTCATTCTGGAGAGGTGGGTGGGGGGAGTCAAAGAGTAGTAGTAAATTATGCTCTTTAATTTAAATGCATGCTTATTAAATGCTGTAACTCAATCAGTATACAATTTCTTCTGCACATATTAAGATAATGTGTACATTAGAAGAATAGTGTAAGATGATACCATATTGTAGATTGATGAGCATTTATGACCAAAAAATACATATGGGATTTTTTTGTATGACAATAATTTAAAATTGTTGAAAAATTAAAAGTGCTATTGAAATTAATAATATATTTATAACAAATGTAAACAAAATCAATTCAGTTACAATATTTATTTAATGTAACATTAGTGGTTTACGAAAAATATTCTGTCTTCATATTCTTAAAAGAAATTTCCTTCTTTTCCCCACTTTAATCACGATACTCCTCAATTATTCCTCTCCGCTTCCTTTACAATGGTGATAATATTTAATGCACCTGTTTGTCTCTTTTGTAATGTATAGGTTATATCAAAAGTATTCCTAAGATTCTATTAAATGAATTAAAATTTGACATACTTTAAATTTGTAAAAAAATGAAAGGTTACACATGCTCTTCATAGAAAGGATGACAGAAGGAAGTCTTATATACATTTAGCAAAGTGAAAAATTGATGGAACTCAAAAATTACACACCGCTTGTAAGTAATCTTTTCCGGCCCATGAATTGATTCTGGCAGAGTACTGACAGTATTAGTAGTATAAATCTGCTGATTAACATCCAAATAATTATTGGTATGGAATTTTTTTCGTATTGTATAATGATAGGTGGGGATAGCGCAATTTGTTGAGGCCATGAAAATATATTTGCTATTCTACATGTGACGGCCTGCCTACATTCTGGCTAGAAAACCCTTGTTGTTACAGCCTGCCGTCGAGCATCTGTATAAACTAACATAAAAAAATGGCCATAAAGCAGTATAAATGGAGTACTGTATATGGAGAAATTTGCAAGCACATTGAAAACTTCAAATTTTTACCCTAAGTTTTGCTTGCAACACTCAGTGTTAAATCAAATTCCAATTTGGCCTTCCAACCCATATTTTAGCCACCCCTGTTGAATATCTACTGTAAATGTGCATTTTTTAACTAAATTTATTTTCCCAATTTAGGAAATGATGTATGCAATATTAGAAATACCGGTAATGATGATAGTGGACATCACAGTGAAGACGACGATGAAGATGACCACGATCACAGTGGGTACCTTCATCCTAGTCTAGTGTCAAATCCAAGGCCGAAGCCTACCAGCATATCTGTAAGTAGTTTATGATATTTGTGTAAAGAGAGACAAGCCCTCATATTTACCTCATTTGTAGAGATAGTATAACTGTAATAGCAAAGGTTACATGTTATCAGTGGCATATCGACAGGTGGTGGGGCTAATCCGGGATGTTAAAGATTATCGTGGGGATTAATGAGTAAGTGAAGGGGTGCTCGTTAGTAAAATGAGGTGATTTTTAACTATGGTACTTGAGCTAATTTTCCTCAGCAAATTTCCATTTTGATTGAGTCTGAGTCAGTGGTATATCTAGAAGTCTTAAGATTTGTGGTGCAAGGGGGTGGGGTGTAAAGTAGAAGAGAGGGTTTGATGATTAAGTAAGGGGAAAATAGACTTACAAGATAAGGTGATATGATGTGATTTTTGCTTAGAACATTTTCAATGGGGAAGAGGAAAATGGAAATGGGGAATTAGGTTTCTTATAGTTTTAGAAGTATTAATCTTCATTGTTCATAGCTACAGTTGCAATTTGTAAGCCTTGCTATTGGAAGTGTAATGGTTTAACTTAATTAAATTTAAATCACTGTCATGGTTTGACAAAAAAAAAATACAAAAAATATTGAATGTGAATAAAATAATAATAAAAAAAATCACAATTAAATAATATGCAAAAATTCTAAAATCTGGTTTACACAATCAATAAAATAAAAATTTAGAAATGTAATTAAAATATATCTAAAACTGTACGTTCAATGTAAGGAGTTAAATAGCATATAATGCTGTATAGAACTATTTTTTTTGAAGCCCTATATTTTCGCGATTTTACAATACACCACCACTGGTATCAATTTACTGTGGATGTGTGAAGTATGATGGACTGGCCTAGCCAAGTCATCTTATTTTCAGAATAATGAATATGACATCATTTATATAATAATGCATTAAATTTTAAAGTATGATTGAATGATTAAAAAATTCTGCACAAAGAAGCAAAAATATTTCCATAAAATCTTTATTGAGCCAATATCGTTTTTATATTAGCTGTGTATGGCTTAGCATTGCTTTTGAAGACACAAGTATCGTTCAGAATTTTGCGATTTTCATCGTCATCATAAATCGCGAAGATTATAGGGCATACAAAAAGAAATGAAAAATTAAAAAGTTCATTGAATTGTAAAATATTTACACTTCCACATGTGACACAGGAAATATACATTAATTTTTCTGTTCTACTTCTATGCTGTACCTCAGGCAATACATCAACCATCGTCACAACCTGTAAGCGATACTGCACGATTACCACCAATTCCTTCAAACGTCCATCCGACGATGTACGAGATGCCTGCTGGGTACCATGACGTAGCAAGTCTACTTGCTCAGGGTTACGATCCTGCAGCGTTAGTGGCTGCAGGCTACCTACCCGTGATGGGGTCGTTCATTCCACCACCTCCTCCACCCCCAACTGCAAATTCAGGTATATATGTTATTTCTCATTATTCCTATGATTAACAATTCATAAATTTGATTGTTCTTTAGTGCAAGTGAAAAAAATGTTTTCTCTTTGCCATTAAACCATGTTGTAATCGTACATATCTGTTCCTATAGTCTGTTCAGTAGCTGCTTGCGAATGAAAATATGATACTAAATCAACAAAGGCATTTTCTTCATTTCTTATATTCCATCCAATAAAAAAAAAAAAATCATGATTAAAGTGTCTGAAATTATTAGAGCATGTTTCTTGTAGCCATACATATAGAGTTTTTTTCAATAGCCACTTGCCAATGCGAGGGTAAAAATATAATATATAGTTATCGGAAACATTTTTCATTACAAAATATTCTAAGGATTTGAGGATTTCAGCATTGCATGCCATGAGAGTTGCTTGAAATAGGGTAATTGAATAATGGTAATTTTCATATTCCTGTACATTAGCTTAAGTGGATCAGATTTCAGTACAAATTGTGATACCAGCATATTGACTTCATGTGGAAATGCCGACGTCCATAAAAAAAAAGAAAAAAGGCCTACAAAAACTTTGAACAATGAAAACTAATTATTTTTTCACTTGGCCTTAATTTAATACTTATTGTTAATAATTATTAATGTCATTATTGTCCAGTGGATTATACAGTATTAATTACATTTATAATAAAAATAATTTGTTTAGCTCAAATGTGATAATGATATTATTAAGCTTTTAGTGATTCTATGCATGTAGAAACTTCTGGATTCAACCAGCAGTAAACTTACTCCGGTCGAAATTTGAAACCTAAAGGCTACGAGTAAATTTATAACAGGATTTTCTCTATTCACACTTGTATTTTCAAAATATTTATTATTTAAAGTTATTTTAAATTTCATATTTAAATTCAATAGATATGATGAAGACTGTGTATATTTCTTTGTTTCATTCATTTCAACATATTTCCAAACTTAAGATGATAATACTACAGTTATTCCTCTATTTAATACTACAGTTACGCCACTATTTTTTTTTTTTATTTTATGTATTTTTTGGATTACATTTAATAGCTTGGCCCTGTGGAAGGACAGTGATGCCCTGCTGGACAGGTCCCCAGTATAAAGAATAAAGAAATTAAAAAAAAGCAAAATTGGCAAATCGCAAGTTGCCTTAAACTAACAATCAACGTTTTAAAATTTATAAATACCATTTTTATATAACATAAAATGTAACAACAGTATATTAATTTTTTATTTATCTAAGTATTCTATCAAGTCATGCTCTACAGCTATTATTTTGTGAATTTTGAAATAATTTTCCCATTTTTTTTTTTTTCTAGATCATGGCTCCCAAATTCAACCATATATGTCAGTGCCACAAGGAACGTCATTTGCACCACCCCCTCCCCCACCTGCCCCGCCTCCACCTTCCGTCTCAAATGTGACTCTTACACACACTGAATTAACTACCTCAATAATCACCTCTCCTGCAATATATCCCCCTCCCTCAGTTTCAGGTGTCTCCGGGACAAGTTCACCAAGTGCTATTCCAAGGTAAATATTCTCAAGAGTTCCCCGTTACTAAATAGGCTAATTCATAATTTGAAGTGCGTATGCGCATATCTAAGGTCAATCAAGGTCAATCGAGATAAAGTTTTAAGTTTTGTGTATCTTTGTCGGTTAAACTTGATATGGGCATGCGCAGTCAAACTACAATTTTCAAATGAAATGTATAAATGCTAATAAAGTTTAAGTTATTTCAATGAGAAGTGAATAATAATGTTTGCAAAATTTTTTATTCTAAAAATATGTATATAGTTTTATACCACTATAATTCCTCCAGTATAAGTCCACCCTCTTGAACCCACAATTTCTTGAGTGGGTGGCCGTAAACAAGTGCGTGAAAATAATTATAACAATGAAATAGTCCTAATTGCAGTTAATTTATGTTGAGTTTATATGTCATTAAAATACACTAAATATTTACCAATTATTTTAGAAGTGTAAAGGTTACATAAATTTCTTATGTAATAATATTAATAAGTAATAATGTTTCTGCTTCAACAAAAAAGAAATATTTATTGGTATTATTACATAATTTATTTGATAACTTTTACACTTGTGATAGACATGTGTAATAGTAAAATAGTAAATGTGATCGTTTTAACCTAAAATATTTTGTTCAATATATTTTATGTGCATGCAGTATACCTTCCACCTCTTAAAAAAAATTTACCTACATTAATTTTGAAACTTTTTTATAATTGTACAGAAGTGGAGTTTTCGGTTCTGATCTTATGTCAGTCAGCATTTGTAAGGTCTCATGACAAAATGATTCTCATGGTTAGAAAATCAAAAGTATTATATTTGGGTGAATCATATTATAAGATTTAATTTGGTCTATGAATGTCTTCCCTAGGATAAGTAGATCTAGAAATGTGAGCATTTAAATTTTAGGTGTATGACAACCATATTTTGAGAAAATTGGCCTCAAATGTGAACTAACCTGTACAAATTATAGGACTAGAATCACTTAATATGTGTCTTAGTAAGAAAATTCAATTAAAAAGTATACAATCATAAAATATGAATATCAAGTTATTCAAAAACATCAAAATCAAAATGTTGAAAAAAATTAGACAATATAATTTCACAAATACTGCGTTTCATTTCTTGGTGAGACCTCACATTTATCTTATAAGAACCTAACATCTCAATTTAGTTCATTGTTTATTTCAAGTAGAATATTTTACATTTAATTCTACAAAATAGTAATTCTTTTATTGTGCAAGAATTTTCTATTGACATTGCACCCACATAGTTTAATTTGAACTTAATTACTTTTACACCATTTCTTTCTTTTTTTTCAAACATTTTTTTGGTGGGGTGGGAGGGGATAGGGCGTAGGCCAACTGGCTATTCACTGAATCTGCTCCTGCAAGTTAACCGTCCACACACAATTTGAAACCCTTGAACTTTTACTTAGTATCTCAAAAACAAACGATTGTGCCTCTTGATTTCAAGTGTATACAGGCCTATGTTATTGCTACTAATAATAATAATGAGCTGATTGATCAAGCAGCAATAGAAACTACCAGTGAAACAGGATAGCTGTACATGTTTATTTTTAATGCCTTTGGAAAATACTACTAGATTGCATTGCAGCATATAAAACAAAAGCAAGCATTGTTAGTGAAGAAGCTGAATATGGAATATGCTGAAGGATACTATATTACTCTCGCCTAATGTATTTTCTAGTTTTGTACAGTCATTAAGTAGAATAGAGATAATAATGTCTGAGCGATTTTATCATAATGATATGTTAAAAGAGAATCGTAATTCTATACCATAATTGGTAAGTATAACAAAAGACTCTATTGAGTGTAAATAATAATTAGACCAAAAGAAACTGTCACCCAAACACAATGACATTTTTAAAATCAGGGTTGGTCTTTCTGTCATGATTTTTTTTGTTATAGGCATAGCCTTTATATAGATAAAGGTAACCGCCCAACTGGAAATGTTTGAAGCAAAATATTATACCCAAATAGTTAAAAGTTACTACATATCACCTTATTTTGAAAGTTAGCACCCCCAAACTTGATCATTCATTGAGCCCCCCCCCCCCCCACTTTCATCTTCGCATCAGCCATCTTATTTCATGACTCCTAGTTAAGTTTTAGACAGCACAAGCATTCTTCCCTTTCCATGAATTAATGTCTCAAAGTGTTGGCATCATTGGAAAAGTAATAATCAGACATAATGTTTAACTTCATGCTCATGAATATTCAGCAGTGAACAGATAAATGAAACTGAAAATTTACACATTACCAGGTACCCATTTATTCTACAACTTGCCTTCGTCAAGGACATAAGTGAAAACGAGCATCTGGGGACTTGAACCCTTGCTATTCCAGGTAGGGGCCTGAATTACAACCACTCTGTCAAACGATCCAAGAGTATCTGAATTCCTAATGAGGATAATGATTTTATGGCTGAGGAATGGCGTTTTCCACTCGCTATCTAAATCCACTGGGTTGTGTTTATTGATAGATTAAATATTAGATTATATACCGTCCTCCAAATTAACAACCTACGTAATACCCCTGTGTACACGCCGTATCTGTTTCAAATTTCATAATTCTTAATCTGTTAAATGGTGATGAAATTTAATGTTAGAACTCGACAAGATTAGAATTTTCTTTCGTAAATTGATTAGAATTTAAACATTACCCGTCCATGGAGAATTATGTATAATATATATTACCTGAGCTATAGTATCACCTTACAGGTAGGAGCTGCCAGTGTATCAGTTGAGGTTAAGTTTTTAAATCCCATGATACCTTTTTTTGATAATATCCTTGGGCAAAGGCACTTAATCCAAGTAGTCTCTGTCTAACTCAAAAGTGGGTGCCTGGTAGGATTGGAATGCCAATATGGTGATCAGTAGCTGCAGTAACATGGAATACATTCCCAAGAAAGCTAGATGCATTTCACTGGTATTTGGTGTAATCACTGAACCAAGAGAGGCCTTTACATGAGTTAGGGAAGACTGATATTAATATTACTGGATATTATTATGTGAAATTACATTATTATTTTTATTGTCATCACCATCAATTTCATCATCATTATTTTTCTTATTCGTGTTTTCTTGTTTTCAGTGGTGCCGACAACAGCAACATCATTCCACCAACCCCAGACATTCAACCAATCATTGATAAGATGGCAAAATACGTGGCCAAAAATGGGGAGGAGTTTGAAGCAACTGTGCGAGCCAAAAATGATGGCCGGTTTGAGTTTCTACTACCTTGGCATAGTTTCTTTACCTACTACAAATATAAGAAGAACGTTTATCTAGAAGAGTTTAAAAAGGGAGACGAGAATGAGGATGATAAACCTAAAAAAGGTAGTTTTAAGACTCATCACCAGGTGTTTCTATGGCTGGGCCAAGCTGCTTTTTTAAGCACACACCCTCAGATAAATTGAACCACCCCCACCTTGCATCAAATATCATCAAAATAGTGATTTAAATATACCATTAATATGCTACAATCCTTAGACCTTATAGACCCCCACCTCCCGTCGACCCTACCTCAGCGCTTTTCTTGCAACCCAGGATGTCTAGGATTCCCAGATCCCCGGACCCCAGGCTTTCATTGGTAATCATTTTTTAAGAATCTTTGTTAACGGCCTGGTTCTGATTGCATGTTTTTACTTATTAACACACGTAAAATTTACAAAAATGTTGTATTTTTAAGAACGTTACTGTACATCAACAAAGGATTAGCTTTACAACCATAACAAAGTGTGTAATATAAGTACTGTCCTTTGTTGTATATACAGTTATCCCTCCAATTAAAGACCACTTTAGGACCAGGGTTTCCATGGCCTTTAGCAGATTTGATCTCTAATTAGATTAGTAAAGATAAAGGCATTTGTTAATATTGGACCACAGAAAAGTGGTCTTTAATTAGAGGGAGACTTGTATTGTAATATAATGTTCTTTTATTAAATGGTAAGTATTAATATAATATATCCTGATGATGCTGAATTTTTTGAAATTGTAATAATAAACTTGTCCCTTTTCATTAGTAATTTTACTGATATATTTTCAATATAGCGTAATAAAAGAGACAAGAATTTGACTTAAACTTTGGAGTTTAACTTAAGAATATTAATTTTTTCAGCTCCGATTAGTTTTTCTATTAAAGCCAAAGATTCCGAAGAGAAACTCTTAGATCGACCCAGCGCCCTTCCTTACGAGAGCAGTGAATCCGACGAGGAGAACGAGCAAAAGGAACTGAAGACAAAACGGGTGAACTTACTTCAGGGTAAAATGATGCCATGTGTCCCCGTCCTCGACGATCCTGCAATTAAACCGATGGTCATCGACCAACAAGACGAGGTACTAAGTAGACACACGGAGAAAGAAAAGCTGGAAAAGGCAGAGTTAAGACAAGCTGAGGCAAATAAAGTAATGGGTAAGTAGATAATATATGAGATGCCAGCCAGGTGATTGATTGGTTGGTTGGTTGGTTGGTTGACAAAATAAGCCTGCACAGAGCCTGCTTAGTTATTCACCCCAAGGAGAGTCAGCCAAACACTGTGTCAATACAATCAACATTCATTCATTGACTTTACCATTAAGTAAGGAGCCAGGATTTTCTAATAGTATAATAAATATGCTAATATGTGTCTCCAAGCACAAAGTATCTTCTGGCCAGTGAACTCCCAACTTGTTATATGTAAAACAATGCATATATTTTTCTTAACTAATATGTTCATTTTTTTTTTTTACATTTGTCGGTATTGAACATGGAGGAAAAAGTTTGTATTGAAATACCTTTGTATTAGATTGAATTATAAATTAAAAAAACTATAAATCAACAGTTTGATATCCAATTAATCATGTTCCAAAATCTTAGTTCTGGGAATGGTCAACAAACCATTTATTTAAAGTTATTTTGGTAGTTTATTTTTTTAAACAATGTATGCACAATTGAAAGGCTATTACTTAAAATCATGTTTATCTTGACAGAGTGCTTTACTTTCACTTGCCAAAGTATGGCTTCAAATTTCAATGAATGACCCCTCATTTTAAAGATTACAATCTCAAGTTCCTGAAAATACCAATAACTTGAATTTCAATTTTTGCAACAACAGCCATCTTGCCATAAACTGCCTCATATTTCCTCATTGAGTTTAGAAATAATATTTGTTTCAGATTGGTAAAATGTTCAAATCTAGATAATTTTTTATGATTTAGTATCAAATCCGAGATTTTATATATACAATTGACGAATGTATCTTTTTGTATTTTAGCACGACAAAAAATAGCTGATAAACTAGCACAAGCAGCTCGAGGAAAACTTCAACAATCGTCCAAGGAACGTAACGTACAGATGGAGCGACGTAAGAAGGCTGCTCTGTTCTTAACGATGATTAAAGATAAGCAAGTTACCATGGTTCCAGAAGGTATCCTAGGTGGGTTTTTGATTGTACTGTAATTTCATGGTCATGCGTTTATTATCGTCTTTAATGGTCATGCATTTGTTATCGTGCTTAATGGTCATTTATTTGGGATCGCGTTTAATGGATCCCATATTTATACAGTAAATACATTTAATGGATTACACATTTAGGTATTGTCTTTTCCTGTGGATACAAATTTCCCAGAAAACATACTCATTAAATAACTTTGACAGTAGTGTGAGATAAATAAACAATTATTTTCATTTGTGCACACTTTTTATGTGATCATTTAGTTTATTAATTCAGTTGAAAGTGCAAACATCCTGAGCTTAGAGAAGTTGCAACTCAGACACTTAAACATTAAGTTGCAGGTTCAAATCTTATGCTGCTCATTTTGTTCATTTTTCAGTGAATTTTACAAAAAATATCTGCCCACACTATCAAATTGTATGTGATCAGTTTGTGTGCTATGCCCATATATGAACATAATAATGTCATATTATATCCAAATATGGGCATAACAGATTTATTGTCATAAAATTTTAGAGTGTGGACAAAGCCTAATAAGCCATTAGAATAGTTGCGTATAATACACTAGTGGAAATTTATTGTACAAGTTGAATTGGGTCTTTTGCATACAAACCTAAAAAAGATCAAGCCAACCGTTAGGCAAATAACATGGGGAGTTGCAGGGACGATGTCACGATTGACATATATAATATGTAAATTTATTATTAGTGTCTCACTCAATCAGGATTATAGATGCGAATCTTCTATGTTTAATTGACTGTTCAGTTAAGCCTCGCCCCTTGGATGATGTTGGTAAGGTCTCTCAAAACGACAGCATTAACATGTATAAACACATGCTTTTTTGGGACAACATGTGTGTTTGTGGAAGTGCGTGTATTCCTGGCGCCGTTCTGATTGGTCAGTTTTTCTGAGTTTGATTGACATCCCGGAAAGGTCCCTGGTGTGGTTTATGCTCAGCGATCATGTTTGACTGGGAAAATTCCATAGGGAGTGGAGGAGCTTGCACGTGTGTGTTTGGCAGTGTTCCCAGTGTAATGAAGGAAAATGCATGAGGCTGTCAGTGCAAACTGCTGTAAGAATGCCAAAACATAATTATTAAGGATGTCTCGCAACCTAACAAAAAAAATATAAAAACATCACATTCTTGTTACTCATTCCATATAACATTCAGTTTCTACATTGTATACAATCTTGCCTGGACTCTCAAATATTAGTATAAGACAGGCCTTTTAAATGTATTATGGCCAGTAAATTAGAGAATTCCATAAATTTTTTGCGATTATTGATGCTATTATCAAGATCAAAAATTTACTTGGTTGAAATAATTTTGGTAAATACGTTTTAAATGATACCTTTGCTATGTATATGGTAAATTATAGATAACCTGTTACGATAATGAATATATGAGGTTTGCCATCCCTAAACTAGCATACTATCGCTAAATATTAAACCGATTAATTAGCATAAAAATTGTGTACTTAAGTACAGGGAAACCGTAATACTTTTACTCATAACCTTGGTAGTAGTCAGTCAATTCCATTAAATGACCCATCATTTTAATTCTTCTAAAATAGAGATTAAGAATATATTAAAGTAAATTTTCTGGTTTCGGTCACTGTTTCTGGTTTTGCCATGGCAAGGCCCCATATGTTACAGGTGGCTAAAAATGTACAAAGTGGATGACAAAAAAATATTCATTACCATTTTTTTTATGGTATGTGATTACCTTCCAATTAATATTGATGGTAATGGTATTGTTATTAATTTCATTTTTATTAATATAACTACCTAAGAAATAGCTTTCAAAGTGCAGGTAACCTCAATTGTTATCAATAAACACAACAATTAACAAAACAGATGTTTGTCATATTGTAGGATGTAAAGTTAAGCCTTTGGAAAGAATTAGTTTAGGTTGATTTCCCTCATGTAACTCAATGTCTGTTAATTTCAATTTTTTTTTCTTCTTGTTTTTGCAGACCAAGTTTCATCAACAAAAGAAACGAGTAAAAGAAGTTTAAGTCCGAAACCTAGACGATTTTCTAACCATTCACGATCAGTCTCTCCTGTACGATCACAATCGCCATCTACCACTTATAAAATGTCAAAAAGTCGCGAGACAAGTCCTGTTAGGAAGAAGAAACGATCACGTTCAAGGTCTCCGATAAAACGTCCGAAGTCCCCGTCATCTAGATCCCACAAAGTAGCATTCAATAAGTAAGTAGTTATTACATAATTAATTAAAGCTAGGCTCTGGAGAAAATATTTTTTTGGATATATTGTACTAACTTGTATTTGAATTCGTTCATTTCTTTCTCCATCAGATTACATAACAATAACTGCTAAAAAATTGTTTTTGTTCCCATAGCCATGTCTTATCTGTGCATATTTTTGTTTTAATGTATAGTATATTTTTGCTTTTATATTGTTATTTTTATGTACTTGATATTTTTATTGTATGAGATTGTTGCCTAAAATGAGTTTCCACAAGGACAAAATAAATCCGAATCTGATTTATCTAAGATACAAAAAGATATAGAAAAAGGTGGTTATGCCCCTTTTTCCCCAGTTTTTAAATATTCAAAAATCAGTATCATTTATTAATATTTAATTTATTAATTATAAATTATTAATAGTAGCTATTCAGGTAGTGCTTTAAAAAAAATATATTTTACATAGTGAAATATGGCTACCAATCAAGTTAATATCATAGACATTTTATGTTTACGTAGGTATATCATGCAAATGACCTAATGGTTCATAACGACAGGGTTACAGGGCTGTATGGACTAGTACACAAGGGTAGAATGACACATCAAAGGATAGAGAAAAAACAAAAAAAAATCATAAACAGACTGTGCTAACAACTAAACACCTTAAAAAAACAGTTTGGCTTTGCAGATGCTATAGTTTAATGTTTCCATCTTTATTAGATTTCATTTTAAATATTGCCCAACACGGGTAATCCGCCACTTGCAAAATGGATTAAGAATAAAATATCAATATATTTTTTCAACGATATTTTGTGAGGGTGGTCCATCTAGCCAGATGTGTGTTTATGAATGTAAAGGTACAGAAATACAGAAATCAGAATGAAATAACACATTAGAATCACAGGAAAAAAATAACAATAGAAAAAAAAACAATAACAACATCATTGATAATAAAATGTCAATAAAAGTGTAGCAAACAAATAATAAAGCCTGAGCATATCATGATATGTGAAGGGAGTGGGAGGTAATGAAGAAAAATAATGATTTCAAACAATAATCAGGATCAGTAATAGGAATAATGAAAATAATAGTAATGAAAATATTAATGATGAAATAATGGAAAGAATAACAACATGGTGCTTGTATAATTATATACTTTGCATATCATATAACAGACAATTGTGTGTATTACATCGACAGGATACATTACGCACACGTCATAAAGCGATGGGTTCTGTTCATATTGCAGCCACTGCAATGATAATCACAGTGTTATGCTTCGCAGGAACTTTCATTACTTACCTCTCTGACCATCCACATCACAATCGTTTTCAATTACTGTGTTTGACACATGTAATCTTTACACTTTGAGCGCACACATTTTGGCACTAATATGATATTTCCTACCAGGAAGTGAATGACCGTACCATCATTCACTAGCAATGAACTAGACAATACTAACAAGACCTTGGTATTACTCTACGCATGCTTATCCTTGCAAAGTGCATGTCGTGTAAACACTGGCTGTTTTGCTATTGTTGCGATGTTTCATGGGTGATATCTTGTGATGTCACAACCCCAGGAAGGTGTGACGAACTTGGGTGTGTACCATATTTTGCAACCATTTTTTTTTGGAGCATATATTCTTCAGTCAAGTGTGTGTCAAGTAAACACAAAGTATTTTGGTGCAGCAATAATAATTACACTTATAGTACAATATTTATTTTGCAACGGATACTCGTTTACCAATACGGGGCTCTTTTATGAGGCCCATTTTGAAAGTGAAATAAATTAATGTACAGGTATATGACATTTTACCTTGATCAGTATATGACAAAAATCTAAAAATTAACTTGGCAAAATTAAGCAATGTCACTGCAAAAATTCTCTACTTTACTCTCTCTTAAATTAGGATTTTTTTTTCTTTTTCGAAAGTGGTAATATTTCTTGTTCTAAATTAGATTATTCCATAAATGGGAAGTGTGATATGCCCTTTCTTTATATTGTGAATTAGTCATGTTTAAATACTGGTTATTTGTTGATCTAGAATTAAAAATATGATACAGTAGTTTTAAACTCTGATACAGTGACACTCTGCAACATTGATGCTAATTTGTGATGACATACCTTTTGGAGTGTGCTAAAGTTTTTAAGTGTTTTGTTTTCTTTGTTTCTTTGACCTACATTTCAACTTGAAGATTGCTGAGCCAACTTCTGCTGACGCATCAACACAAGTGGGGTTGTAAGCACAGTTCCTGAAGAAGAGTACAGCTCAACCCTTATTTGTTGATATACGTGTGTCAGAGTTTCACCGTTGTTTTGCTTTTCCAAGTTGTGGGAATGTCAAGACTTTTTATGTCCCAGAACAGATCTAGTACAAAGTGCACAAAGTCCAGTTGAAGTCGGTAAAGACCAGTTACAAGCAACGCGGTCACTAGCAACTGGATGGGAATGCATAGGAAACGTTACCTTGTTGTTTTGAATCCAAATTGACATCTTATAATTAACGTTAATAAATTGCATGAGTTTACGCCCTTCATCATTACTTAGTAATGGTTGAGAACTTTTAAAAACGTATTTACTGCAATGTAAAAATACAGAAATTTAGGTTGATACAATAAAGTCCACAATTAAACTTAAAGTTACAACCATTAAAACATTGGTTGATTTTATTGTGTTGCCACACACAAAAGTAACCATTGCATAATAAGTAAACAAGCTTATATGCGTTAATAAAAATGTAAATCAGGTACAAAAAATGTTTGATGGAAGGTGTGTTTAAAAACATACTTTTAGGCATAACCATCAATTTAAAATTAATATCAAGGAAAACAAGTTATTATGACACAAAAACATAATTAGGTGGAAAAATACCTGGTTTATCATAAAACATAAAAGCATGCCAGTAAACAAAAATTAAACTAAGAAATTCATAGCGAGTCTACAATCATCGACAACATTATCATCATAATCAATATCTTCATCATCATCATCATCATTATCATCATTTCCACCGTAATAATTATTATTATAATCATCATGACCATCAATATTATCATCATCATCATTATTGTTACTATTATCATCATTATGCATTCAGTACATTACTGTACAGAAAAGATAGAATAGAACAAATTACAATTTTTATAATTATTAGGGTTTATAATTAATAATTAAATTACAATTTTTAAAGAAATATTTTATACATTTCTGTCACAACATCCTGTAAATCTTGGGAGGAAAATTGATGCAGATTCTCTTGGTTTTGAAGTATTATTGCAGGCTTTACATCGCATCTACTGTTGGCAGCCGGTCGATTACCTTTCGTATGTTGTTCTAACAAAGACCAGGAAATTTAAGTCCAACGGCAGCATACAGTAATCCGGAATCTAACCTAACCCATATAATGGAGTATCATTGCTTCAGAAATGGTTCGAATAACATTATCACAACCTGCTTTCACTGTCGTGTGTAATAGTCTAGTCAACAAGTTACTCCAGGTTGTGCATTGGCCTAATTCTTTTCATGTTTTTTTTTTTTTTTATGTTTATGTTAATGAAATAAAAATAACAATATAAAAATTGAAATATTATGAGGTTACATAATTTGTCTAAGCCAATCACAGAATAAACAATTTGGGGTGTTGTTTTAGTGGGCGTATACAGAGGAATTACTTTAATGCTAGGCCATAAATTTTTACCAAGACGCCCACTGATTATAATTTTAAGATAACGCTCAAATACTGTGAAAAGCCATATTGATTCATGCAGGAACGAAATATTCTATCAATATGCCTTCCCTAAGTGTTCTTGAAGTGTGCATCATATATTATTATTATAATATTATTATTGTTGTTGTTGTTGTTGTTGTTGTTGTTGTTGTTGTTGTTGTTGTTGTTGCTCTTGTAAATTCATATATAGTCTAAGACTTGTTTTCATCTTGTTTTTGTAGGCATACCAAGAAGGATAAAGTAAATAATCGTTCACGTTCACCATCACCGATTAGAAGTGTTAGAAGATCTTCTCCTTTTCGGCGCTCTGGTAGCGTAGGCAGTTCGGTGATTAGTAAATCCAAAGCAAGGTAAGAAGCATGAGTGATTCATTGGCCTATATAATTGATTATTATAAATCTGGCAGACAGCACTTAATGTACTTGTCGGTATTAAATTCAAGCCTGATTGTTTTGTGTTTTTTTTTATATTGTAATTTAAATGGAAGTAAAGAGAGCTGCCGTGCATCAAACTCAACATATTTATGTTTGTCTATTACGTTTTATATGGCAAATTTGTATGATTTGGCCATGTACTGGCATGATTATATTTTATCACCCTTCAGATACAGACTCAATTTTATATGTCCAATATGGAAAGAGCAGAGAGTACATTTTCAAGTCATTAAAATTTCTATGAAATAATATTAAATTTAAGAATTTCATGTTTTGTTTAATAATTTAGTTATTTTATGTACTAATAGTTAAGAATCTTAATTCGTTTATTTCAAATGATTATTATTCAAATATTATATTATTATATTATTTTATATTAAATATGGAATTATTTTATTATTTTAAAATTTGCAGGTATATAATTTCTAATATTAACTCATTTGAATAATTTTCATAATTTTTTTTCTTTCGTAATTTTATTGTTTGAATTTAATTATGATATGGTTGATGGAATGATGTATTGATTTTGTTAACTGTCACTTAATCTTTATACTTTATAATGAACAGTCAATTTTATATTATATGATTTCCTTTCAGATCCAAGTCACCAACGTTTAGTATGCAGACTTCTACAACGATCAAATGTACATCTCCTACAATTCCCCAACTACAGACGGCTGCAAATCCCACACCCACACCTCCCATGCCCCCACAAACGTTTACGTAAGTAGGAGGAATTTTGCTGATGTTAGATTTTTTGTGATAAAATATAATTACAGTGATCAATTTTAGGTTGAAAAATACCAAGATGTTTCTCATACCACATATTACATCTTTGTCCCCATAGTAATGTTAATATTATTTTTATTGCTTTTACTAATAGTGTTGCTAGTTCTAGAATAAAGTACAAAATTCCAAAAGTTCCATTTCGAATATCGTGAGAAACAATATAGTGGATCTGTAGCTCGTTGGTTAAGATGCCTGCCTTCTAATCCCAGGTTCCTGGGTTCAAATCCTGCAACAGCACAGGATTTTTGCTCACGACTAAAAAACATCTCCACTCCCTAACGCTCGTAATGAGACTTAGCTGATAGAGCATCACATTATTTCATCTGTTTAAGAGGTCCCCTGAATATCAGCGTACCTTTTAGGATATGCTTGAAAGGTTAACTCTATAAATGTGGTTTTAAAAAAAAAAAAAACAACTTTATAAATTTTTTTGTATATATATTGTACATCTATTGACCTAGATAACTGTATTGATAATTGTTTTACTAATTAATAATTATGCCCAATATTATCATTTTTCTACAGTGCAGAAGCAAGCTCCCAATCAGAAACAACAGAAAAGACAAATGTAAGTTAAATTTTTATGAGTTTATAGGGGTCCCAATTTGGGAAAAGTTTCTGTAGGGAGGTCAGTTTAATAGGGGTTTCATGTCTTATTGCATGTTTGCAATGCACAACATTGGCTTTAAGTAAGGCAATTAAACAACAGGACGCACATCTTCGCTCTCGAACATAGTGCGTGCATACAGTCCTTTGATCTTTACTGTCGCATCGACAATTCGATACTAGTTGTGAGTACAGCCGTCAATTATTAGTCTATGCGTGCCATACGTTTTATGGTGTTAGTTACTGTTCTATTAATTTTGGGTACTTCCCAATGTCTGTTACATCTGATTCCTTTTGACCACAAGCTTGTTAAGTGCTTCTATAAACTACAATTTGATTCTTGAAAATTGACCAACAAAATTAAAGTTATTGCAAACGAAAATGTACAATTTTTTAATGAAAATTTGTGTTAAACTGTCATTTTGACAATGTTGGACTAAGGTGCACAAAACAAAAATTTAAGTAGATACAGAAAATTTATTTATTTTTTCTGCAAAGTAAGTATCATGAACCACCGGAAACCACTTTATTGATAAATGTTGAAATTTTAGTCTAATGTTAATGCAAAAATTCATTAGGCTTTTGTAACCACCGCACGATGAACAATTATCATGGCAACAGACGCACGTGGGTAATTCGTCACACGCTGACGGTTAATTATAGTATGGTTGCTATGGTTTTTTGTGACGATCAAGGCATGTAAATCTCAGACAAGCGTGTAGGGGCGCGACGCATAGAATGTCGATAACAAGGTTATATCCTTTTATGTTCCAACATGGGCATTCTTTTGTTGAATTGCCTTGTTTTAAGAAATCAATTGAAAAATATTGAATTCGGTTCGTGAGAATCTTGAACCCTTGACTTGCGTGAGTTTCTTCATCGAGGCACAAAATAAATTCCGATTTTTAAATTAATTAATTCAGAGGAAATCAGTAAACCACGAACGATCTCTGAAATAATATTTAAAATTGTATGTATTTTTGTCTATAAATAATCCTTTGTTTATTTCTTTTCAGAAATTAAGAGAGAAGATTCGTGCAATGTTAGCTATGACCAGGGATATTGGAATCAAGAATGATAGCTAGTAGTCGGCTCTACCCACTAAACACCTATACTATTTGAATATTCATATACTAATTTGAATGTGCATTTGTGATTTCTGTATACACTGTAGAATATTCCTGTGCTTATTTTATTCCAATAATTTTCATTTTTCATTTCCATTCTTGGTTGTCTTTCAGTTCGATGAAAGTAGACTGTTCTGATAATAACCCAAGGGTTTTGTTTGCCCAAATTTATTTTGGTTTAAACAAGTTTAAGTATTCTATTAGATTCAACAAGAGATTTTTTTTAGTCATGCTTACTATTTCTCTTCAGTAATTTCACAATCTCTGTTTTAACCGGTGGTCGTTTACTGTTCTGCTATTGTACATGTTTGTAAAATAACCAGGTGTTTCAATAGGGTTTTATATGAGAGAATGTTATACTGATAGATTTATGTACGATGTATGGAAATTCAGGGTTTGATCACGGTTGCCTTTATGTTGATAAAAATGCACAAAAAACTTCCATTAATTCTAACCACTCCTTCAATTTGTGAAAGGGGATCTCATCTGATTTATGACATTTGTATCTCCTCAATTTTCATAAATACTTATTAAATTGCTTACATTAGGCCAAAATTTGATATTGATTGTAAATTTATGTTTAGGTAAAAATTGTTGTAATTATTGTTAATAATAAATTAATATAATTATTAAATTGTTATTAATAAAGTTCTAGTTATTTTTCAGGTGCCAGTATACATTTGTTTTTTTTAAATTTAAATTTATTGATGGTATTCAGATATTGGTATAAACAATTGTTTAATAAGATTTATGATTTTTTTTTTATCAAATATTTCTGTTTAAAATAATACTCATTGATACCAAAACAAATTTTGATGTCCCTCTTTGAACCTCATAAAACAATTTCTGTCATCTTTGAAAACTTCAAAGCGAAAAGTTAAATGTTAACATTCCAAATACCTTGTGCTTAGAATTTGGGCTTCCATTCACCGGTTACCATTTAATTTGCTTCGCTTAAATTTTTTATACTAGCATTGCATACTCTTTCCTTTCCACATCGTAATTGAAGAGGGCTGTTTTGTCCAGATTGATTTGGGTGCTTTTGATAAACTTTTTACATGTAAATATACATTTGCATTTAATTTCAGTCAGAAAATTTTAATGCATAATAATTTCTCTAATGATATTGCATTCACCTTAAATTTTACATCATTTAAATCAATCAGTAAATTTTAATGTATTACAATTTTTGGTAAACTAAGCAGTCAATCTGAATTTTTAAAGTGTATCATTATCTAAGCCATCTAAAATTTTGAATGTACAGTACATTATTTTTTCTTAAACTAAGTACTCATGTATAGAAAATTGAAATTATAATTTTCACTAAACTAAGTAGTCTTCGCGGGGGCTTTTAAGTATCATTATTTTCATTTCACTGAAGCTTTGTTGTCTTTGGAATAGAATGGTTTATTAATTTCACTAAACTTAAATAAATCATATTATATAAAGAAAACTCAAATTAATTTAAACTTTACAAACTGTCTGAAAATACATTGTTAGCGTCAGAGGGCACACTCTGGAAACATTGATTCGTGAAACGTGACACTCAAATGGTGAAATGCTAGTGAACTTTATAAAACTGCTTGTAAATATTATTAAGTTGTGTGAAAATGTTAGGAAATATTTTATATTTTGATTATAATGAGTGAAAGTGAGTAGTGCGATACTGTTTGTTTCACTAACTATGGATCGCTGTTTTCGCTGTGTATGGCGCCCTCATGCTCTTACACGCATTCTATTCCTCATAGTATAACAAAGCATTTTTGTATTGAAGATGATGTTACTAAAAATCTACAAGATTTCTGCTTTGTAAAATTGTGCAGATTTTCAAAAAATGTGTATCTCAGCTGCTTCAAACATTTTCTAAGGCTTGGTTTTAAAAGGATAGCAACAACTTTGGTCGCTCTTTGGACCTTAGATAATAAGATGACAAAATTAAAATAATTTGACAACTCACCATTAACAGTTCTGCCAGCTACAAATGTTTTTTTTTTTATTAAATAATAAAACAAATGCCAATAGTGAAGTTGACTCCAAAAAAAAAAAAAAAAAAAAAATTTATGAAACTTTTACTGATTTGATAAAGCAAATGTATTCTTAAATATAAATATTAAGAGCTGGGATGCAATATATTCTTTTGATTCCTAATCTTTAATCTTAATTAAATACACTCCTTAAGTATATGTACTTGACTTAATAATATATAAAATTGTGTGTTTTTATGTGGGTTATGTCCCTATATAATGTTAATTAGTAGATTTATGAAAACTTACGGAAAATTAACTTAGTTTCTTTGCATCTTCAGAAAAAAAAATTATTTTTGTTAAAGGAATTAACAGGAAATAAAATTTGTTTTATTTGAATGTTATTACAACCAAAGAAATTATTATTGTGTGTGAAAAAACTGTCAGACATCGTTTTTCTACAGAAAGCCTGTTAGATTTTTCACTTGGCTTTTGACAGTGTCGATTTTAAACATTTCTGAACATAGGTATCAAATTCTGAATTCTCATACCTATCCCATCATTCATAAACACCTTTCACTGTGTTACGTCTTGTATCGTTAAGTTGTATCTAGAATTTTAACACCTGGTTAAATTACATTCTGTATACAAGCAAAATTCGTAACGTTTCTTACCTTCATACCAGAGATTGTGAAAAATGCCAATACAGTAGAACCCTATTAAGGGGACACCTTTGGGACCAAAAACATTGTCCCCTTAATATGGGTGTCCCCTCAATATGGGTTGGCCATAGTGTTAAAAGATATACTTTCCCCTGTTTTGTTTGTGGCCAAAAAGGGGTCCCCTTAATAGGGGTGTACCAAAGGAGGGGTTCTACTTTATTATCATTATTATTATTATTATTATTGTTATTGTTATTATTGTTATTATTATTATTATTGTTGTTATTGTTATTATTATTACTATTATTATTGTGTTTTAAATATAGATTTTCATTATTTTTGTACACGTACAAATGCATTCACATAGTATAGGTGTTTATAGCTATAAGAGAATTCAACAGGTTTTTTACTGTAAGTGCAGAATCACCCCATGTTTAACAAGGGGTAAATCCGTACTTGATTAAGGGTTAAATCCTACCTGAATAGGGTGAACATTTTCTTTGGGTAGAAAATCTTCTAGATGTAATTTCTTTGACTGGGATACATCTTTTCTTGGTTGGGAGTTTGTTTTTTTTCTTTGTCCTGTGGAATAAATTGTTCTCTGAATTTCAGGTTCAATCTAATAATTGTTCCCTCAGATGTGTAGGTGGATCTTGTTGGAATAATCCAAAACTTGCCTCAAGTTAAGAGATAAATAAAATAATATGTTTAATGCCAGTAAAGTAGAGGTGCTTTACATTTGCTAGCATTTGATGGCTATAGAAATGCTCTTAAAAAAATTGGACATGCTAAAAATGTAACAAAAGCATTTTCTCAATTACTTGAGGTATACTTCTATACATTACTGGAAGCACGCAAGAAATATTTTTGTTAACTTTTGTTTGGGCATGTTAAGGTTTATGCATATCATTCTCCAGAGGGTGCTGTTGTTTTACGTAAACGTAAGATGCCGAGATGTACAGATGCAATAGTGGTTATTTCAGATTCACATAGAATGTCGGACAAGAGGACCTATTATTTTTACTATGACTTTATTACTAGTTCTATTTTTTCCAAGTCAGCTTATGAGGGAGATGTAGTTTGTAAGAGTAGAAAGAAATTGGTAATGATGATGTCTTAATAATCAATTTACTGATATACAATGTTTTCAACAATTCTTTAATGCAGTATGGTTACATAATACAGATCAGTAAACATTGCTTGTTGAAATAACATCATTTTTTTTTCTTGTGTAAAAGAAGTAGAAAATTATTAACTTGAAATTAGTAGTTACAAATTGATTTTTGATTGTTTATTGAAAAGCAATGATATTGCAAGTCAAACGGTAATTTCTTTGTTACTGGATGGAGTGTCTTAAATGTACTACAATACTGGTATCTATATTCTCATGGGTTTTTAAATATAATTTCTATAGAAAATTCTGTACAATGCACTCAATTATATCTATATTATGTTAATTTCTGTAGAGATTCTTCAGTGAATCCTTAAAAAGAATTATGGATTTATATATTCTAGTATTTTTGGAAAAGTTATATTGCTATGAGGGAACTTAAAAAAGGAATCCACTTCTACGTTAATATTGTAATAGATTATTGTTGTAGCAAGTGATCAATCAAATAGAGAATAATGTTTGTAACAGAATAATTTCAAGAGTCCTGATGGTTGAGGGCAGTATTGCACCTGAATAATGTAGAGGGCAGTTTTGCACCATGCTGTTGAGGGCAGTATTGCACCCGAATGAAATTTACGGTAATGAAATTGAGGGTGGTAAAAAGTATTGTATTTGTACCTGTTAAAAAGAGCAGTCTTATCCCTGATTGACAGATGCAGTACAGTTCTGTGTTTTGGAACAATAAAAAAAACTGTTAATATGCTAATTATCATAATCCCATCCTTAGTCTTGTATCTGCCATTGCAAAATTCATTTTTGCTACAAGTGTTGTGATTGGTCATTTTAAGCAAGCAACAGTGAGTTGCCAACATCTGATTGGTAGATGTAACTTTTAATAGTGTATAAGGTGAATTGCAAAGTTCTGATTGGTCAAGTGAAATTAAGCATTCTCCTTGAAGTGATTGAATGTTATTTAACTCCGCTAGAAAGCAACTATCATATTGAGCTAAAAGCTTGTTTACCTCCAGCCTACACCCGTCCCTCCCCCTTGCTATGATATTGATGATAAATAATGATAAATATACTTAAACATAGTAAATAAACTTACTTATAAAGAAATGGTTGTCAGTAAGATATCCATGATCATTAATTAATACACATTTTTTTTAAATAGTGTATGTACCTCTTATACTTAAAACTCATAAAACCAAGCATCATAATTGAATATTCTATTACAGTACAGCATAGGCAGATTCAATGGGCCCAGTGGTCCTAAGTTTTAAAAAAAGAAAATTTTTAATGGAGAAAAAAGAAGGTTATATTCAAATTGAAGTCCCCTATCTGTAAAAGTCTGTCCTGGGTCCTGTCTAAATGTATTCCAAGTTCCTGAATCCCTTTGTGTGACTACTAACCTATTCCACAATTGGGGCCAAGGATAAAATAACATCTCTTTTGAAGAGTTTATTGCAATGGTTCTTTTTGTATTCTTTAAGACGTTGATACTTCACTATGGAGCTTTTGTTGCACGTCGTCTGCATTTAGAAAAATGTTAGCGCCATTATTCTGGACAAATTTCAATTGAATACTAAGAAAAACAGTAAGGCGTTATATATTTTTAAATAGTGTAGCAAAGTCATAAAATTCCTTTTAAATAAATGTTTCTTTACCATTTCCCACTATGCTTCCATACATTCTTTTTGCTTGGCAGTTTGTAGCATGACAGTCCTAAAACCAGTATAATTCATCAGATCCTCTCACTATGTAAATGATATGCAAATTAATCACACTACATTATTCATTAGATGCAATCTAGAGGACACTTCTGTCCTATGACAAGTATACTTATGCTACCAGTCTGTTTATTAAATGTTATTACATACTTCTATGACAGTCTTGCATCAGCTTGTAGGTGACATTCCCCCTTACACACTCCTTCCCTGCCCCTCCCCTCCCCCATATCCCAAAATGTCACTTAGAGATTAGATAAGCTTGTATTATTTCAGCTTTTCTGGAATTTGGTTCTGAATTCCACAAAAATAAAAACAGACCTATCACTTAAATGATGATGTAATATGTAGTACCAAGTACTAACCATCAATGTTTTTGATTTATGTTAGAGATTTGCTGCATTGCATTTCTCTACCATTTGAATGGATCTGTGAGAGCATTTTTGAACTAGCAGTGTTAAATTGATTGAATGAATTGGAAATATAACTTCTGTATTAACAAAATATAGATTGCATTTTCCACCAAATTGAGTCTTTTTTTATTTGATTTTTTTATTGGCAAGAGAAATTTTATGTTCTCTGATTTGATGTATTTAAACACTTATCGGTATGGAAAAATATTACGAGACAAATTAAGTAAAGGAAGTATATATTGTTAGTATGATACAGTTTGTTTTAGAATCGGTTTGTTTTTTTATACATCTTGCAGAGGCATAAATTAGTCTCCTGTCATAGTTTTTGATCATCTCTGGACCTTTCCGTTAAGCTCCTCCCCTTGGAAATTGTTGCCATGGTCCCAAAAAACAATAGCGTAAATGTACATAAACATGTGCGCTGGTGAGACAGATGTGTTTGTTGGACACGCACGTATTTATGGCGCTGTTCCGATTCGTTAGATGTCAAGTTTGATTGATACTCTGGGAAGGTCCGTTTAAGTTATGCTTTATCAATTGCGTTTTTTTGTAATTGGGAAAAGTACCAACAATGAATTGAAGACTCTTAAACTGGTTTCAAGAATAGAAATTTAAGGAGTGTAACAATTGATTCATATGTTATGTGCAAAAAAAAATTCAAGAATAAAGGAAATCTGCAAATGTCGAATGATATATTCAAGACGACATATTAGACATTGGTCCAATATGAAAGAATGGATTATTATGTGCACAAATATATAGGTATTTACTGTGTGCAGATTTGTTGCCAAAGTATTACAATACATAATATATGTGTTTATCATGATTGTGCAAAAATACTTAACTGACCAATAGTGAAGGAAATTTAAGTCTGATAATAAAATGTGAAGATTAAACCAAAAATCAACCAAAATCAATTTTTTTTTTATCAACAAATTTGCTCATGCATGACCCAACAAAATTGCTCATGCATATCATTCAGATCACTCAAGCATGACAAACAAAATTACTCATGCATATCAAATCACTGAAGCATGACCGACAAAAATCTCATGTGTTACTCAATTTTTTAATATTGCTGGACAAGTTAGATATGTATCTCACTGGATATGGGTATATTGTTATGTATTGTATATCTTTCTGCACTGTTCTGTATGCATTGTGTACTCAGTCGAAAACTGACTTAATCAATTGCTTTGGCTTGATTCGCATGTCTGTAACCTATTGTTTATTTGAACACTGGTTGCATGGAAACCTAATGTAAAGGGAACAATTCATTGAGAATAAAACAAGTCCTTAACTGAAATGTCTACCTGTTTTCCTGTTACATTTTCTGTGTCTCTCTTGAATTAAATGATGCAATAAACCAGATTTATATAGCCAGAAGTTGGTTACAATATACGTTAGGGAGAAATGGGTCTGACAATAAATACAACACCCCAATGGGCAGTCATGGTCCAAGGTCTAAACCTTGGACTGCCTGCAAGCACTGGGTTCCAAAGGCTACGTTCAGACTTAAGTTAAGCCCGGCTTAACTTTGCCGGGTGTTCAGACTAGCGGGATTAGCCAGAAGGCGCGAGCAATTGCATAATAATTGCTCGCGAAATGTATGCGCGCTCACAGCGTACGTAATTGAGTGCAGATTGGTCATAGTCAATGCAAGACCCCCCGCAACGATTTAAGCCCAGCTTAGAAAAGTTAAACACAGTCTGGCTTAGATAAGCCACCTAGTTCAGACTGGCAGGTGGATAAACCCGGTGAGTTGAGCCAGGTTTATCCACCTAGTCTGATCTAGGTCAAAGAAACTTGGCAATTGTTTAGTTTTAGAACATATGCCTAAAGGATTTAATGTTGAGATGGTTACATCTTGCAAAAGTCTATCAATGGAAGGTATGACAAGACGTGCGAATTGGAGATTTGCTAACCGACAGGACCTCCTGTCATCCGACTAAAATATAAATTTGCTGATCGTAAGTTCTTGGTTGGTAATCCCTAGTACTGTATTGTGGAGCTACTAATGCTAGTCAGGTCTTGAACCTGGGTCTACCGCACAAGAAGCAGGAACAGACCCGTAGCCAGGTTCTTCCAAGGGGGTTTCTCTGAACGTGAGGTCCAGGGTCGAAGCCCTGGTGGGTTCGGCGAAACCCCTGAAGGCGGGTTTTTTTGTGTTCTATGAGCAGGGGTTTAGCCAGAAAAATGATATAGGCCATCCAAAATGGAAGCCAGTGGGCGTGGCACTGAGCCGATGGGCGGACCATGCCCACTTGGGGCCACGCTCATGGGAATCCCCACCGAATATTGGTACCTAAAACAATGTACATTCAATCAATAAATGTTGTTTTTATCAAACGTAATTATGATTTAGCTTTGGTTTAATGTAACATTTGATACACTTGAAGAATATGAAGAATTTGCTAAAAAGCAGACGAGGCCCAATTAGGCTAGGCTAATCAAGCCATCACGGTAAAAGTGGCCGTCCTAAATAATTGTAGGCCGTCCAAAAGACGGCCGGACGGCTCGCTGGCTAAGCCTATATCTATGAGCCTAAATAATGCTGTGATAGCAGTTATGTTTGAAAAAGGTCTGCAGCAAAACATTCCGTCTGAGTCTGGGTGGGTCTAAAGTACATTAATTGGGTTGGAGGACTCGTTCAGGAAATTCTGGGGGGGGGGTTTGCCAGAAAAGAGGGGGTTTGCTAGAAAAGTTGGTTTGCCTGAGGAACATTGCCAGTTAGCCAGGGGTGGAGCCAGCATATGACCTCGCTCAAAATCTTTCAATAGTGGTCAAGGGAGAAAACCTCCTCAATAAATATGACAATTTAAGGTTTTCAAAGGCTTATTTAAATCATTTTAGAGTATAATTTTTTTCTCCCCGACGAATTGTTTTTTTTTTCTCCCTGATAAAATAATTAAAACACTTTTAAAAACATTTCTTGTAGATTTATTACTATAAAGTACTGTAACATACAAATCCAGCCTTAAATTTACTCACATAATTCAATGAAACATCCTTAGAACTAGTAAAGGCCAACTGGGACAGCGCCCTACGACGCAACTTATTGTCAGGGAATGTCTTTAGGTCGTTGTGAGAATCTTAAACAGCTTCAATATTCTACAGTGCAGACCTATCACATGTGCATTTTACTCGCACAAGCCTGATGCGACAAAATACCAATCAGCGTTGTCCGAGTTGTCTTAAAGCACTAGCAAAATTACTTCAAACGGATGTGCGAAAAACATACATTAGGGAGCTTTTGATTGCACGACGACGTTAGGACGTAATGACGTCACTAAAAGTCTTCTGCGTACGCAAAAACGTTAAGTGGATTTTAGGACACAATTTGGTCAACAAACCTACGTATGCAGAGCAAGTAGGACGCCCGGTAGGACAGTCACTCATGAGTGATTCCGTTCTAGTGTCATGTCGTCGAACAAAGTGAAATCTCCCTAGCATTATACACAGTGAACCTTGACAAAAGGATTTTCTTAAATACAGTGCAAAAAGTAAAAGTTAAAGGCAACAATTTCAGTAGGTTATTATTAAAGTAGTAGAGAAATATTGCAGAATAGACTTGATATTTAGTATTAACATTTTTTTCCCTGATATCAGAAATATTAAATTTATAATTACCATAATTTATATTGCACTACTATGAATACAAATGGACAATGTTTATGATTGAATAATAAATACATTATTAGTAATTAATATACATTGCTCACAGCAAAAAATATGTTATATATAAATGAAAAAGCTAAAATTTATGATAAATACTAATGACAAAATTTTTTTAAATATATTTTTCTGATAGATAATACCAGTATTAACAATATTTGTTTTAATAATTTAAATTTTAAAAAAATACTACAAATAATAAATACATATTGCACAGCAGAAAGTATTTTTAAATATAGAAAATGATGAGATAAATATTAATTACTGTATGATTGATAATTAACATTATGCTAATATGATAGAAATAATATTGTTAAATTCATTGAAATGATAATCATTTATATAAATTGAATTAATAATATTTAACCTAAATTTTATAGTTCCAGGGTGAAGATTATGCATTTCATAATAAATTAGTTTAGAACCCTTAAAACTTGCAAAGAAAATGCAAATTGTGGCAATTTGCGTTAAAATAGAAGTTTAATTACCAGTTAATTAATATAAAATATATTTAGTATGAAGTTTGTTTTACTATGCACATCTTCCATATTATATAGGCTTTCCTTGGACGAAGTTTGAAGAAGATGAAAGCGCAGAAAAGGACCACAGTGGAGGATAGAAAACAATGGTAACAGGATAGAAGAAAAAAAATCAACAAAAATCTAGGCTTTTCAGTTGTAACGGGAAGGAAAATAAAATAATAATAATAATAATACAAGTACAAAGGATCCATCCACAGAGGGAGGAAAAATTATTTTTGGTATAATAATACAGTAAATGAGAACACTTCATTCTGGACACTACACCTACTTAGAAGATACCCAAATTAAGGACAAAATGTGTCAAGTGAAGCAAGAAAAAATATATATTTTAACACTACAGCCAAACTATATTTAAAGGATACAGTACCTTCTTTTGGAGATACTTTTATTGTTCCTAAAGGTGTCCCCTTACATTCTACTACACCCAATAACCATAAGTATTAATAAGCACATTTACAACTATGTAAACGAAAATGAGCTTGTGGTGGGAGCTTATGACTGCTGCTTTAGCCCAAGTTTTGTATTTTTAGGAATTATCATGGAACGAGTGCTTTTCCACCCTTGCAAGCAATTAACTTATCTTGGTTATTTGAGATGATGTACAGTAAGTGATACCATGCACAGGCAAGGTTTAAATATTGGGTGGGCCCGGTAAGCACTTTACCATGTAGCGAGAAAAAGAGGCTGGGGCCAGGGGTCGCCACTAAAATTTTTGGGTGGACCTAGGCCCACCCAGTGCCGCCACCAGTGATAGCACGCATGTAGAATTCTTCATGTGGGTTCTGCAAAACACTGGTGGAAATATTTTTCTACTGTATCATTCGGTGTTTCTTCGGTGGTGTTTAATAAACAAATAAATGGATTCTTTAAGTTTGGGTGGTTACAGTAGACACAAATATTACTACATGAACTGGTAAATCATTTTTGTTTGTTCGATCGGCCTCGATTTAAGGCCCATTGCATACTATTCATCAACTGCACCTTATGATATAGAACTGTGCCCAACATAATACCAAACATACCAATCCAACTAGATAGAGACACTTCATTATTGAAGATAAACACAGAAACAAGTACATTTAGTAAAACGCTGATGTTGCCGAGTACCTGTAACGTTATAGGACATGTAAAATACGTCACAACAAAGTTCATCATGTTGTAGCCGACGGCACAAAAACAACTGCACAAGATGAGACACCAAAGGCGGATATTGGTGTACAGGTTTAGGTCCCAGATGACATGGTATTCGAAGATGACTGTTGCCATTAGAAGCAGGAGGAGACTCGGTAACGACATGTAATAAAGGAGGCAGATGGAATCTATACGCTCTTCCTTTAAAAGAAAACCTGAAAGAAAAGAGGTTTGTTTTTAAATTTAAATCAAAAATTATTTATAATTAATTTTATATATATTGATTGTAATGTTGTATGGGTTTAACCTCTCCTGATTAAATTATTTTAATAGTAGTGAGTTTTTTCCAGATTTTACTACTAATTGTATAACCATATCTTATTTTATGTTTATAAACCAAGGTTATTGTATGTGTGAAAATGTGATTCAATGTTTTCACAAACCTTGAAGAAGAGACTTCAGAGACCTCAGAAATGTAGATAGAATTGCAGCTAAAAACCCAATAACGCTGAAGTTAACCTCCCCTAAAGTACACAGCACGCTTCCTATAAAAAGCGGTATCAACGCAATATACGTGTACTTATCGTGTGTTTTATTAAGCAGAACTTTTGACACTAAAACTGTCATGAGAGGTGTCAGCGCAAAGATCATCTTCGCAAATGAAATATAAAGATATTTAATAGCGACATTTCCTAGTGCTATACTCGCTGCAAACATCACGCTTAATACTTGTATTTTTTGGTCCTGGATTGTTGGTAAAATTTTCCATTGGTCGTCGTAAGCCATTCCTAAAGGAGTCTTGTGAAGTGTGACAGAAATGACACTGTAGGTTGTCAAAACATGTAACGTTGTAAGAAATACTGGGTAGTTGAAATTATGGTTTGTAAAAATCCATTTATTCAGGTTGCCAATGGTGATGCTCAGGAACAACCAACCACAAATTGATACCGCCGTCATCACTTGCAGCCGATCAATCCTAAACATTGTGAATTCTTCTCAGTTTTTTTGGTATTCTACTAGCAATTTATAGCACAGCATATGTACACACATTCAGAACTGAAATGAATTGTGAGATAAATGAATTAATATAGATGAAGATAAATGCATGAAAGAAGGCCTACAATATACTGACAACCTGGATTATTGAACATTATTTATTAAATAAGAAGTGTTTAAACTTAACAGTAAACTATATTGTATTTTGAAGTCTTTTACTTCATTACAAAGCGCAGTGGAATATTCTTCTGAGGGACTCTTGCAGTAAAAATATATACAAATCTTTAAAATCTATTCTTGGATGAGGTAGTGAAAAAGATTTCATTTTCCAGGTTCCCCATTGCCCCACCCACACTGGAAATTGTATTATTTTACGAGCAAACAAACCTGCCATCATACATTCGCTCCAATCATCCAGGAGCGGCGCCAGGAATTCCCCTACAAGGGGTCCAAGCTCCCCGACAAAGGGGTCCACACTCTAGCACCCACACCCCCCATTCGGGGAAGAATAAACTAATTGGAGAATTTTTTTATTAAAAAATAATAAAAGTTTGTGAATAATTAATAGATTCTTTATTAGAAAAAGAATAATTTGATAAAAACCATGCAAGTTAAGCTTGCATGGTTTACGACCATGCTGTAAATTCCCCGGCAGGGAGTCCAAAGGCCCCTGATGAGGAGTCCCTTGCCCTCCCAGCCCCGCTAGCACCACCCCTGCTATCATCAGCGCTCACTTCACCCACCATCCCATATATTGTTAATAAATTAGTTACTGGCCTAGTCACTAGTCGCAGATTCAAGGTGAGGGGGAGGCACTTACTGGTTCATTCGCACATATGCAGAGCTGTAGCCTCATATGCAACACAATCAATTTCAATCAGAAAAAGCCAGGAGTGATCGATAGGTCTAGGTCTGGGAAGGAGAACTATCTCCTCCTTCTCAGCGGATGGATGGGATGGTTGGGTTGGATGGAGCGAGGCTAGGCTAAAGCCTAGGCCTATATATGGACAACGCTGTCATTGGTAATCTACTAGATTCAGTTATGTTATTAACTCACTTAAATATTTCTGAAACTTAAATTGAAAATACAGAACTGTTAACGTACGTTTCCCCAAAACACACTCCACCCCCTTTTCTGGTGACCTACTGTATTATGTAACTCTTGCAAGTCGCAAATCATCGAGATTTTAATGCGAGAGAGGGCGGGCTTATATTATGAAATGAAACGTGAAACCATCACACACACAAGCATGAGTGCTGATCGCGACTCATCTGACTCAGATGCTGATGAACAACAAAGGCTAAGTTCTGCAGTTTGGGAACCTCAAAAAACTTTACATAAACTTTCTGTTGATAGTAAGGCTTTCTGTATTCCAATTATATGAGCAATTTTACTTGTGCATCAAACTAGGCCTAACTATTTTAATACTTCGGCTAGGCCTAGGCTTGCTAGCTTATGATTGGCGGCCAAAATGATCGAACACCGCTAGCTTTCCCCTAGCCTAGTCTCAGAGGCCAGTTTCTGGTCGGTCCTTAAACCACTACTCATCATGTCTTGGGCAGGCTAAGATAGCTATGCGTGGAATTTACTTCCCTATGTTTAAGTAATCGAACGCGATGACCACTCCTCTCTATTTTAAATGCCCAGGCTGCCTGACAATAACTTCATTGTAAATAAAGATCTTGACATTCAATTGCGATATTTATTATTTTGCTCAACATTTTACCTATAAAATATATTAATATTACTCCTTGGTTTTACTCAGTCTCTCGAATCTGGTTCCATTCTTCCAATTAGAAACGTGCAAATGTAACACTAAAGCAGATCTGCCAAACTCACCCGATCCTGTCGGGTCTCACCCGATATTTAAACAATTACAGTTCTCCCGATTGAATGTAATTTTCACCCGATTTCACAGGCCACCCCACCTCCCCAAAAATACTCCGATTTATGCATAATTTGATTGATTTGATCGTTAATATTCAATTTATTCGCCGCCTGCTCGCTTCGCGGTGCATAACCAAGCAGCCATTTTCAATTCGAATGTTGCCATGAACAGCCAATGATTTGTAGTAACGTGACTTTTTTGTATCTTGCATCATATTTTGGTTAATTATGGAAACCTCCAGATTTTTTAGTAAATATCCAGAATCTAAAGAATCTTAAAAAAATCTCCAGATTTTCGTGACCCAAGGGTTGGCAGGTCTGCTAAAGTGTGTTATCTCCAAAAGAAGAAGGTAACGGCTGGTCCATTGCACCAGTGGTGTAGCACTAAATTGTTCGAGAGATATCGATTCAGGACACCAATTCAAGCTGAATATAAAAGGGTTTATTCATCAAATACATGACCACAAGACGCAGCTTGTCAACGCCAGTGCTCCTCAGAGACTTGTCTCCCCTGGTCTAGTCCTACCGGGCGGCCCACAAGACTAATTCCGTGGGAACATCTCATAATGTTGTAGGTACCAAAGTTGAAAGGTTGCATTTACACAAATACTCCATCAGGAGTTCATTCCACAACTATCACCCAGTCTCCAAAATATCACCGTTTTGTGAATTTATGGACATTCCTGAATATATAATCAAACCGCTTTTTCAGTTTCTAAATTCATGTGCACTTTTATAGTGAAAGTGTTCTGTTTCCAGCATGCAATTTTACTATATTTATTTTGTTCATTTGTATTTTATTTCTTTCAGCAATTAATACAAACATTAAAAACAACATTTATGAAATGGAGGGCTGCAGAGAGAAAACTGGTTAAAAAATTGTCATCACCAAAGGGTGTCTCTCCAACTCCTACACAATACAAACATATAAATAACTTAAACCTAAAATTCCACACAATATATATAATAAAAAAAATTGATGTATACTCTATTACAAGATACATCAAAAGAACTTAATTAACACCCAACCCTAATTCTCGAACCAGACCCAAAATTCTATTCTCTTGTTATTTGTTTATATTATTAATTAGAATAGACCCTAGTAATTATCAAATTACTAAGTACTAGGTAATTAATTATTATAGTCAAATTAATTTTTTTAATAGGTAAATGTGAGAAACAACAGGTGACACAACATGAAGAAAAAAGATCCTTAAGGTAGGCCTACTAACATCAACAAAGTACTTGTATGTTGTGCAAATTTTGAAATTGCTATTCACTTGTAGAAAGCCATTATATGATTTAGTTCATAAGAGGTTACTCATTGCCTAATTAATATCCCCAGCTCCCCCCCCCCCCCCGCCCCCCCCCCCCCACCAACCACATCTAAAAAAGTTTTCAGAATGTACAGCCTGAAATTTTATTCAAACTATAAACAGTCATTTTTGATAATTTTTTTATAATAATTCAATGGTAATATATTTAATTTAAACAAAAAATATTCCTTTTTTCAGAGAAAACATTGACACATCGGATGAGGATTATAGGAGTCTTAAAATTACTCCTGGTTTTCGGAAACATGTTGCCGAGAAATTGGAGACGTTTCTTGATAGGTAAACTAAGTTTGGTAAATGTTGTGTTATTGTAGAGAAGCATTTGTGAATATCAGTGGGAGTATCATAGAGAATATAGAACATCATTTATTTAAGTCAGCATTTTCCCTCTTACGAAGGGTTACTGATATTTACGGCATGATGACACATGGACCCTGTTTGTGTCTATTGGTGCGTTTGTTTTTTTACAGTGAGCCTGCCTTGGCATACGACTAACCCATCACCATAGGGGTAAAGGGTGGATGCCGCTGGTTCCTTCATGAACTCATCTGTGCTTTAATAGGTCTTATTTTTAATTCTGCCAGGGGTCCACACACCTTCCTCACCAGAGTTGCCCCAGGTTGGTGAACGGGTTTAGTCGCTGACCGTCTGACCTTGAACAGGTAGTACTTTTATAGATGGATTTATTTGGTGTAAACACCAAGGATAACACATGAAAGCCTGAAGAAGACTTATATCCAATGGGGGTCCTTCAGGTGGTGATTGGGAATTACACCATCCCCTACACTTTTCCCAAGAGCGTCCTGTCTTCTTTAATGTGCAAATGGGCCATAATGCAGACAGGACCAACGGCTTAAACATTTCATCCCAAAGACAGTGTCCTATCCTAACTTGCATTTCAGCCCTGCAGTTGAAATACAAGGAGAGCCGCGATGGAAATTAAACCGGTGTGCCTAGCTATATATGTATCCTCATTTAGTACAGTATTTGCAACCATTAAGATTTCCTCGCTTTTGAAACATCGATTAAACACCCCAAGATGGAAATTAAAATCTTTAGGGCAATGTTTTCTTCTTTCTAGTGCTGCATTGAACAATCTTAAATCCTTTCTATTTGGTAGAGCATTTTAAACACCAAGGCCTGTATTCTCAAAGCAGTCTAACTTATTTAGAACTTAAGTTGATCATGGACCAACTTAGTCCACTTTCAAGAATACATGCCAATTAAGTGTGACAACCCCACTGTAGAATTTAGTTAATACTTTGTGCTGTATAAATTTTGTTGAACATTATTTGGTGTAATTTAAGATCTTTTATGTTTTGTTTATCTACAGCACAATAACTGAATCTGTTACTGAAACCAAAAAGCAAAAGTTAGAGCCCAGTGGGCATGAAGGTAAGTGAACATGGTAGCACAGCGGTAAGAGATTTAACTTTTGACCTTTAAATTCATTGGTTCAAATCCTGCCAATGTCCTTGTTGTGAGACATTTTCATTATGTCGTCCTGGTGATGAGATGTTGAGACGTTGATCCCATGGGCCCATGGGTGTACAATGGCAGCAAATTAGTTCCACTAAGTGGGTGTATAAAATACTAAAAATGACCATTAAGTTTTCATTGGTATAGGAATTTAGTTCCGGACTCACAATTTCATGCACTCCCTCACACATGCCTATTCCCCTGGATCCTCTGTACGTACATGTGCTTTTACTTGTGTGTCTCAAAACATTGACCAATCAGAACATGAAGTAATGCTCAATCTGGTAAAGTATTACTGTATACAAAAGGGTTTTATAGTTGTCAAGTTAACACAAAGGATATTTATATTGTTTGTATTTTCAGGTTTACTTCTATTTTCCACTTCAAATCCAGTCGCCTCTTGGATGATGTCCCCACATTTACCAAAAGCACCTGTAAGAAAGAGGCAAGCAAGCTCCGGAGATAGGTAAGAAGGAATGTATTTTATCTGATGTTCATAGAAAACTTGTTCAACCATAATGTACTCGATTCTGTAGGATTATGGATTGGTGTTAAGGGTTGACCTTGCTTGGTTCTTTTTCAAGGTGGCATCCCTATCTTTTCATTGCATGGTTTTGAAGCTAGGGTAGGGTTTATGGTAGTAGGCTGACTGCCATTTTTGGGAGTATCGCACAATATAAGAGCCATGAGCATATCTTGTGGATGAAATTGCCTGCACGCAACATACTGCCATTTGTGATGTGTCAAATGAATTGTGGCTAGGCTATAAAATATAGTTCACGCTATTTTCCGGCCTTAAATGCAAATCTAATAAAATTCCACTCTAATAAATAAATAAATAATGCTGGAGCCAGACATTGGTAGTACTAGTACACAACATTCTACAATTTGTTAAGTATTAGTCACATTGGAAACTATGTATTATGTGCCCTACAATTATACAAGTACCCAGCAATACCAATACAGTGCTGGAGCAGCTACAGACTTGTCCTGGTGTAAAAATTGACACCAGATATTATTATTTCCATTAATATTATTATAGTCCATATATATAAAATCCATACACTGTATTATTACATTATATATTTACATTTATTTATTTTGTCTTACCAGTGAATATGCGGAAGTAATTTTAGTCCGATATTGGTCCTTAATGACATTTCAAGCAATCCGTAGAATTGAAATTTATTGTATAATCATTTGTATTATGAACTGTTTTTGCTGACAGTACTGTATGAAAGTAATGTAGAATGACATCAAATTAAACTTTTTTCCACATTTTAGAAATTTTAATTGATCAAATCTTAAAGATTTAATTTCTTTATGTAGTGGTATGACATGTTTTAGTTTTAAATTATGTTTAACTGTATACAGATTTTTGAGTACAATTATAAAAAAAATTATAGAGATATATGTTTTATTATATTTTACTAAAGTTATTTAAGTTTTAACTCGAAGCAATATCTGTATGTGACAACAAGACAACATTTTTACTCTGATTTCTTTTTCTCAGTGATTCTGAAGAAGAAAAGTCGCGCCTAAGGTCTGTAGCTGTTGATGGTGTACAGATAATGAAGGAAAGTCATTTATTAATGTCAGACCAGAAAGACTCACAGCTGAACTCAAGTAAAACGGCATCAGATTCTGAAGATAAACCCAAAGGTACTAAAGATATTCCTGGACCAATAAAACGAAAAAAGAAAAAGAAGAAAAAGAAACTTGATGATAATGATGAATGCATCGAAGCCCCCTCACATCCCCACTCAAGTTTTGACAGCGCTGAAGAAAAAAATAATAATTCCATAATCACAATTGAAATAATAGAGGTGGATGAACAAATAAAAAAATATAAAAAGAAGAAAAAAGGAAGAGATAAAAATCATGAGAATGCAAGTAACTTATTGGAAGAATATGATGACCCAGAAACATCGAAAATAAGTACTAGTATTTCAGAGTTAAATGATATTGGAGACAAGTCTAATAAAGATATTGAACAAGCTACAACGCCAACTAAGAAAAAGAAGAAAAAGAAAAAAGAAAAATGATTATTTATTTTGTATACAGTGATGCAAAATGCAAGAATTTTAAGTTAAAAAACTAAGATTATGAGAAAAAAAAAATAAACAAAACACATACACAGGAAAATATTATTTCATGGCTGAAGTTCTTGTGATTAATCTGTGCAAGCTATGTCTCAATTAGTTGTGAATAAGTGACTAAACAAAAAACATGTCCTCTGGATATGACATTAAGCTTGTGGTCAGGTGGATATAGTGGGTGTTTTCACATGAAATGAACACAATACATATTTCTATTTTCTGCTGGTCATTATTACATTTCTTCGAACAATAACAGTTCTTTTCTATGTACATGGTGTACCGCAAGCATTAGTATATAATTTATTCTACTAATTCAATCACTATGTCATCATTTCTCCTGTGGCCTGTGTATGTATTTCTAATATTTTACTCCAGAACCACATCTCAAATGCATTTATCCTGTTTATTTCTTAATATATTTTTATTATCCATGCTTTACAGCCATACAGTAGAACACTCCTTACCAATAATTTTAACCATTTACTTTCTTGTTTTGACAATTGCTTTGCTTGTCAAGAATTTCTTGCTCAAAGATTTCCCTTTTTGCCATTTATGTTCCCACAGACTGTCAGTAGTTTAATTGATATTTCATTTAGATTAGGCTGCAGTGGAGTTTGAGGTTAGCACCAATACTCGCCTTGGAATCTCAGGATCCTGGGTTCAATCCTTTGATTGACAATTATTTCTCTTGACAAAAAAAAACAATCCCTTCCCTAAGCCTCATAATGAGAGTTTATTTTATTTGCAAATTACATATAGGAATTGGCAGTTTACCTTTCCTAAGTGTCAATCAAACTTAACAACTGACCAATCAAAACATGGGGTCAGGAATACGCCCATGTCTCATATAGGCATACACGTTTACATTTATGACCGCACACTCAGCCCTGTTTACGAGTGCAAGTACTGTAGTTTTGTGGCACCTTGGCAACAATATCCATGGGGCGGGACTTAGTGGAATAGTCCATTTTGACTGCTACTTAATGAGTGGAGCTGTAGCTTGACGGTCAATGTGCTGGCATTCCAATTCGATTGGTTCTAGGTTTCAAATCCTTGAAAACATCATGAAGTTTTTCTTTTGACTGAAACTAACCACCTTCAAGCCTGACGAACCGTTGTTTATAACTAAATGTCAAGTTTCTTTTTGATTTATTCAACTTTGGCACAGAGTAAAAAAACGAAAGATATTAAAGTAAACAAAAACAAGATAAGATGCCAAAAAAAAAAAAATGTTTAAAGAAAATTCAGTTGAATAACCTTCTTTCAGGCCTATATTAATTTATGAAAATATATAATAGACAAAATTAGCCGTGTTGCAACTAAAGCCCCATTTACACTAGACATGATTACGACAACGACATCATCGCGTAGTTTGTATTATTCAACACTGCGCGCATCTGTATTGAGTCGTTGTCGTGTCGTAATCGTGTCAAGTGTAAATGGGGCTTAAGTCAATATAATATATTCAAAGAAATGTATGTAAAGTCATGTTTCAAACCATCAAAATCTCCTATATCGCCAGACTGCAATTAGGTGATTTATTTACATTAAAGTGTATTTAAGGCACATTATTATGATATAATAGGACCCTAGTCTCTAAAGTTAGAAAATATGAATTCTTCTATGTGTATAGTAAAAATATAGAAAGATACAATTAAATATAGAACAATGTAAAGTTTTGCGATGACCAAAACCTTTACAGTATTTATTATTGAACGATACATTTAAAGCACATCGACATAACTTATTACACTTTTTAACTTCATGGATAAAATTCTTAATTACTGAACTGAATTTTAATTATAAACGAATTCTAAAAATAAGTACATTGTTTTATATATTTACCCTCAATATTTACAGCTTTTATATTTTAAATATTATCAATCGTATAATTTGAAGTAAAATTAACTATAAAACATTTTATCTGTAGTTCATAAAAATAATTACAAAATTACCAAAAAAAAAAAAAAAAACTACCCAAAACATACATGTTTAGTTGGCAGTATTTCCCAATTGTAATTTCAGCAATTTTCCTTTTAAACGTCACAGGACACAATGAATCTTTTCTGCATGGAGTTCGTCCTAGTTCATGAAAAGAAATTCCAGAAAAACAAAAATTGTTTTCATATTTGATAGGTGTTGACTCATTCCTGTATATTTCAGTGATGATAAAGCGTTTAAAAATAACATGTTTATGGTGACTAAGCTTCATTTTCTAAAGCTCCCGCTAGACATGTGATGAATTGATTCGAGGCATTATTATTTATTCTATCAATCAGTACAGGATAATATTTGAGGATGTAAATAGTAGAAATTTTGTTTTTCTATGGAATTATAGGAAGAGTTTGAAACCATGATCAGTGGCGGCGGGGATGAAGACAGACTCGTCGGATGGACCAAACAATTGTTTGAATATTTTTTTAATTAAAATATTTTCTAAAACGTTTTAAAACAGTTTAAAAAGGCCAACATTTCAGGGGGATTAACATAGTTTACCCCCAGAGTCCGCCGAAAATAATCAAATCCCCTAGGCCTATCAGACCACTCAACATCCTGCGCCATTCGTCGGAAAATCCCGGCGCCGCCCTGATCACACGGAACTAAACATTTAAAGGGGCGCATTCAAATACATTGTTTATATAAAGCATTTTATTTTGTATTCATATGACAAGGTCATTGACCCATATAGTATCAATATCGAGGTCTTAAGAGTGGAAAATAAAGGCTGGCTTGGACAGGATTCGGACCCCTTACCCTGGAATTGCAATAATTAACTTAACCATCGAGTCACTGCTTCCCTCAAAAATATAATATAAATGTTATACAGGAATAATGTTCTTCAGCATTACTACCCTTAACGTGGACCTTGAATTAATCCTACTCTTCTACGAGGAGACCAACGGGGTAAAATCTACAAAGTGCAAGGTGTGTTTTACATATTCAATTCACAAATACTTCAATTTAGACGTACTACAGTGGAATATGCCTTGTCGTTTACTGATTGTGATGTTTATACAATACCTTAACCTAGACCTAGAAAATATCGAAAACAACCGGCCCGAAATATGTTTACATCTGATAACTTCACAACTGAAAATTCAACAAGTTTTTTTTCGATGTCAGAAGTACACAATGAATTATTTCTAAGTGGAGATCGTCCTGGAAAAATCATTAACATTTACTTGAGGCGAACACTAACGTTTTATAATGTTGCCATCGGCTGCATATTACTTGCGTAAGTTTCAAAGCCTGCAATATTGATAACTGTGATGATAGGAACCAGTTAGGCGGGTCAAATTCAAGGTGAATTTATTTCAGTAATTCATAAAGGAACCGTTGTTTCTCTTTGCTCATACACTCGATGTTTTTATCGTCAAACAGTGAGTGACTCGCCACTTAACACGATTCAAGCAATGCTCGATAATTGTCTCATTAAAAAGTGTAGGGAGTGGAGCTGTTCATAGTTGTGAGTAGATATCCTTGCACTAACAAACTTTGAACCAAGGACTATATGTAGGCCTGTTATTTATTTATTATATATTGGCCTATTATATATCTGTCTCTTATACACATCTAGATGTGTATAAGAGACAGACACAGTACAGTATGTGGTGGAAACTAGGCTACACCACCTAGCCCTGTCTCTTATACACATCTAAGAGTCGGGTCATCCTCATTTGTAGT